AGCTTGTATGGTAAGCAATAAGGAAAAAAATGACCAAATATAGAGCAATTGTCTACCCTGTTATCTGTCCATCCTGTTACGTGTTAATTTGTAACAGTAAAGACAATTTTTGTAACAGGAAAGACTAACATTAAATAAAATGTGGATTTTAGACCTATCTCATCATTAACCAAGAAATTTATTGCATGATTTTTATTAAAATTGAAGTAAGTAACACAAATACACCTTGAGTAAGGATTCATTGTTTCTAATTGTTAATTGAAACATAAAAAGTGATTTTGTAACAGGAAAGACATAGCATATTGTAACAGTACGGACAAATTTTGCTTAAATCAGAAAAAAATGTGGACTTTTATTAATTTGTCAGATGTAATATTATTTTCATTTTATTACTTTGTAGTAATTATTTTATTTTTTATTCTTTTTTCAACTATGAAAAGATAATTTTTGATATTAAAGGACTTCTAAATATGATTCTGTAACAGGAAAGACGGGCATTGCTATAAAATAAACAATTTTTGAGAACTTTTTTTCTTATAAGCACAGTATAATATAAATTCAATATATGATTTTTTATTTATTAATTCAGTTTAACAGGAAGGACACAATAAATTATGGTTCTTAGCTATAGGCAGTATATATTTTTCCATCTTTAAAAAAAAAGTTTCACTCAGGTTAAGGGATTTGTTACTGCCCTTTTAGGTTGGAATTTAGGCCCAATTCCTGAGGGTCATTCGTCTAGTGAGGTTAAACCCAGGGTCATGAAACCCAAACCATGGTATAATTTATAATACACCACAAAACAGTCAAAATTGTATGGTTTATCTAATATTACTGATCATGGCTTTGCTACATGTAATGAGAAGATTTTTAAAGATTTTTCATAATTTCTTGTACTCCAAATATAACTCTAAATTAACCAATAGATGCCAAACCCTACACCAGTGATCATGATTTGAACAAATTAGAATGTACACTAAGTATAAATGCCTTTATTTAGATTTGACTGATCGATTGATTGATTGATTATATACTGTTTAACGTCCTTATCAAGGGTTTGCTGTTCCTGAAAAGAGATTTGTTGATATGTGTCTCAACTTACGCCAGTAATATTTTGATCATTCATAATGCCATACCCTACCCTAAGGGTTCAAGATTTGAACAAACTTTAATCTACACTATGTCATGAAGCTTTATATTTAAATTTTATCTTTTCTGGTCTTTTCTAAATGACCTGTCAAAGAATTTCATTCTTTCTTAATTATCTATTGGAAGAGGGTGTGACCCTTCATTTGAACAATTTCAATTTCCTTTTCATAAGATATTCTGTACTAAATATAGTTAAAATGACCAAGATAAAAAAAATGTGAGAAGTTTAAGAAAACAATAACAATTAAGTTAACACCAACAAACAAAACACAAATCTCAGTCAGAAAAGCTCATCTGAGCATTTGGCTCAAATACGGTAAGCTATACTAAACATCATGAGTGGTTTTTTTTCTTTCTTTTTGTTTGTTTGTTTTTGTTTTGTTGAAAATTGCCATGTGATTTAATTTCCCAATCAGTGATAAAATGAAATTAAATTCCCAATTTTGATGACCTAGCTAGGACCCATTTCCAAATTGCAGTGGAAAATTCTTAAGTTAATCAAACAACTTGCCAGAAACATACACTTTTTTGAACTACCAGGTAATATTTTATGTTTCTATATTTAGAAAAACAGTGAAAAAAGAAAGTTTTCCTCTAAAGAAAGGTAAAAGAAAATTATACAGGCAAAAGGAGGATGGCTCTCTAAATCCATGTTTTTCTTTTAAATGGAGGTTAAATATTTTTTTCAGACTCTAGTGTCTTTCAGTGTCCTTCCTTTACGTTGTACATGCCAATGTTTGCATAGGCAAGCAATTTTCTTAATGTAAATCCTATTTTGTTTTACATTTTACTTGTAATTCAGCAATTTGAATTATTCTATGTTATATCTAATTAACATGTAACATTGTTTTGTACTATTACAATACTGTGTATTTTGGAAAAGTCTCTCCTGTAACAGTCATACATATTCATTATTTTCATACTCTATTTGTTCCTATCTTAACTTTAACGTAAAGTTTAATCATTATTTGGGAACACCAGCGTAAATTTTTAGGATTAATTAAATTATGTGTTTAACAAAATAAAGAATTTGATGTAGATACACAGAAATTTCTCTCCTGTTGCATGTTCTGTTCTTTCCTGTTACACTTTTTAACTGAGAGACCAAAAAACCTTTCAAAGTCATATTTTTCTGGAATTGCTTTAGTTACTCTATATCTTTATAATATATTAACAGATTTCAGACTGAAACTGATTAAATATTTACTTTCCAATCATTTCTAAACTAGAATTTAGGATTCTGTTACAGGAGAGACATGTCTATTGCAAAGTACTGTCTTTCCTGTTACGGGCCTGTCTTTCCTGTTACATGCACTATAATTATGAAAATATGTGGTTTATATGTAATTGTAACAAGATTGGATCTACATGCATGCATAAAATGCCATTTCTTATCAAATGTGTGAATGTGGTTTTTTATACTAACTTTTACGACTGTAAAATGGTGAAAATATTGACCAAAATGATGTTCAGATTTGAAAATTGTCTCTAAAATCATTGAAAAAATTATTTTGCTCCTGTTTCATTGAAAAATTATAACTGATTTTTTATTTGCCATGCTTTCACAAACTAGGCTTAACTAATTTTATAATTATTTTTCCACCTCTTAATAGTAAAACTTGCATTATTGTGTCTGTAACAGGAAGGACAAAATTTTAGGTGAACCAGTATTTTGATTTCTTCTTACTCTGAAATCAAATAATTTCCAGGTGGGAGTTTAGTGTTTTTGTGTTCTTCAGATATGTGTTTTATAGTAACGATTAAAAAAATTTAATTCTAAATGCAAGAAATTTGTTGATTTTTCGAATATTTTTTTCTGCGGTTTTTGATAATGACTCATAACACATACAATCAATCAAATATTATTTTATAGCTATGAAATGCCTCAAGATTTTTTTAAAAGCTCATATTTCATCTAAAAAAAACAAAACAATGGCTACATTATTGCAGATTTAGATATGGCTCAAATTCAGAAATTAAAAGTTAACACACTAAAAAATCCAATTGTAGCTCTTTGAGCCTTTGGCTGAGAAAAGCTAGTAAAATTGCCACATATAACATATACACTTCTTTTAAATTTATTTTTTCAATCATTTAATATCAGCAGTCGTATGTCAAAAAAAAAACAACCCACAAAATATTTTTTTGCATGATATTAATTGGCTTTCAATTGTCCACTTGCATATAAAAATGTTGCACATAAAAGTTGGTTTACAATATCAAACTTATGATGATTGTATAGTTTTGTAGCTTCTGAATTGAATATTTTTAATTGTGTATTAATGTAAAAGCAAAAACAAGGCGAAAATAAAACGGCGGCAAAATTTCTTCCCTGTACACAGTACTAGTACCAGTAAGTGTTCTGAGAATTGTACAGTATTGAAAAACAAGTTTGTATCACACAGTCATAAGTAGATACACATGTAATACACTGTACTTATTGTTCTGAAAGGTTTACTATTTTCATCATCCAGTTACTCAGGAATTAAGGATTTGATGAAAAGACATAAAACATACGTAGAGACAATAAGCAAAATTAAATATTTAAGAAAAAAATCTTAATTTGACACATTTGAGGCTAAGATGGGTTAAAACAAGAGGCCCAGGGGCCACAGCGCTCACCTGAGCACACCAGGCTTGAATTTACTCCACCACCCCCCTCCAGGCATTCATCATTTGAACAAACTAGAATCTACACTACCTGAGGATGATTCCATATAAATATCACAAATCATAGCTTTGAAGTACTTGAAAAGAAGATTTTAAAAGGTTTCCCTATATATCCCTATGTAAAACTTGGGTCGGCCATTTTGGGCCCACCCTAGCCCCGGGGGTCATGATTTGAACAAACTTGAATCTACACTACCTGAGGATGATTCCACATGAGTTTCATCTCTCCTGGCCCAGTGGTTCTTGAGAAGAAGATTTTTAAAGATTTTTCTTATATATTCCTCTGTAAAACTTGGGTCGGCCATTTTGGCCCCATCCTTGCCCCAGGGGTCATGATTTGAACAAACTTGAATCTACACTACCTGAGGATGATTCCATGAGTTTCATCTCTCCTGGCCCAGTGGTTCTTGAGAAGAAGATTTTTAAAGATTTTTCTTGTATATTCCTATGTAAAACTTGGGTCGGCCATTTTGGCCCCACCCTAGCCCCGGGGGTCATGATTTGAACAAACTTGAATCCACACTACCTGAGGATGATTCCACATGAGTTTCATCTCTCCTGGCCCAGTGGTTCTGGAGAAAAAGATTTTTAAAGATTTTTCCTATATATTCCTATGTAAAACTTGGGTCGGCCATTTTGGCCCCACCCTAGCCCCGGGGGTCATGATTTGAACAAACTTGAATCCACACTACCTGAGGATGATTCCACATGAGTTTCATCTTTCCTGGCCCAGTTGTACTGGAGAAGACGATTTTTAAAGATTTTTCCTATATATTCCTATGTAAAACTTGGGTCAGCCATTTTGGCCCCACCCTTGCCCCGGCGGTCATGATTTGAACAAACTTGAATCTACACTACCTGAGGATGCTTCCACATGAGTTTCATCTTTCCTGGCCCAGCGGTTCTGGAGAAGAAGATTTTTTAAAAATGCCATAAATTTTTCATAAATTCATAATTATCTCCCCTTGGAAGGGGGCGTGGCCCTTCATTTGATCAAACTTGATTCCCCTTCACCCAAGGATACTTTGTGCCAAGTTTGGTTGAAATTGGCCCAGTGGTTCTTGAGAAGAAGATGAAAATGTGAAAAGTTTACGCCGACGCCGACAACGACGACGACAGACAACGGACAAATTTTGATCAGAAAAGCTCACTTGAGCCTTTAGCTCAGGTGAGCTAAAAACAAATGAAAGTACAACGAATCTAGGGACTGAGGCATGAGTGAGCTTTAGTATACAGCTGCCCAATTCTGTTTTAGTGCACTGTGTATATACAAGTAATGTATGAAGTTGGATTTTAAAAAAATGAAAACAGTTTAAAATCATTTTAAATTACACACAGGGTTTCAAAAGCTGCACATTCAAGTATATCTAATATTATAATTCAAAATGGAATGAATTTTATACAACTTTCATTTTTAAATATAAAATGCAAACATTCTATAAAATGTAAAATTGATTGTCATTTTTATGTGAATTATTTTTTGAAGGATGACTTTTGCAACTACATATAAATGGTACTATTCAAATGACTTAAATTAACCAATTTTGTACAAAAATTCTTTAATATAATTGCTAAAATTACATTCATCTAAATTAATACATGATTCCTTAAATTCTTTACAACTCGCCGAGTAGGTCCAGCTCAGCTATAACATTTTCCCCCGTGACTGTGTTTACCGCGGTAACAGTGATCTGAGTTAGTCCAAATGACAGAGAAATCTTCACACTCCTCCTCACTCCCTTCACAGTTAATTTCCCAACTACACAGCAGGACTTGTCTACATATCGTGGATTCTCTTCAGTAGATCTATAAATTTTGAATGACATTTGAGTGGCACTTCTTTCCACTGGTTCAATGTCCTCATCTAATTCATATGTGTCTCCAATGCCAACCTCTTCCCCAATGGTAACTAACTTCACAAACACACATACGTTGTTCTCACCTCCAATGTAACATTTAAGATGTTCAGGGTCGTGACCTTTTAAGAAAAACCTGTAAAGCCCCACCCCATAGGTGAAGGCACACCTCCTAGATGATATTACACTTGGGGTGTGGCCATAAAGTACTGCCCCCTTTAGTACGGCCAACCCAGCCTCACTGGCCCTCAAAATGTTTAGCCTTGGGAAAGTTTCTTTGATCGTTTCGTAGACAAATTTTGACTCTGAGAACCCTCCCACCATCATGATGTCCTCAATTTGTCCTCCCAGTTCCTTCATGATGATTTCAGCTTCTTGTTTGATTCTATTTAGCACAGGATTGAATAAGATAGTCTCAACACACTCTGCAGTCAACTCGAGTTTGTTTCCATGATGCACAGAAATCTTGCCATTAAAGCTGGACCTGACCACTATTTCTTTTAAATTCATTTCATGATGCTTTTCAATTATTTCTACAAAGGAGTATGGAATTTCGAACCTTAAGGGTTTGTAGCTATCTCTCCTGCTGAATTTCCTTTTCTTCACTTCAATATCATGCTGAACTTCCAGGAAGTCAGATCTGTGTTCCTGTTTGCATATGTCAATGACAGAATGCCCAAATAATTCTCCGAGGAGTTTTACAAAGTTGTCATTGACCTTATTTCCTCCCCAGTCCCCGCCACAAGCGCGGAAGAGCTGCTTTAAGGAACCGTCCAATGCGACCTCCATTGCTGTTAAATCAGCTGTCCCACCTTTCAATATAAACCTCTTAAAATTAGTTATTGGCACTTTTAATCTTCAAATACAATTTCATGAATTTTTCAAAGACAATAATTTCTATCAATTAAAAGTATAATATGATATAAAAGTAATTTGTGGAACACAAAAATGTTTTATCAGTTAACTTACTTAAACTGAATCAAATTGATGTCTTGAGTGCTGCATAAAAACATTAACCTAAGCAAACTGATCACAACTTTAAAATACTGTAGACATACTTTTATCTTTATGGAATTAATTTATTCCATGATTTTTTTGTTAAAAATTTGGCGAAGGTTTATACAATTTAACTTCGTTTTATTCATCTCAAAATAAATCTTCAAGAAGATTTTTAAAATCCCCCCCCCCCCCAAATAATATCTGCAAAGATGTTTTGACAGAGCTTCTATTCTGATCTTTGTAGAAAACTTTACCTCCGAGATCCATAACAAGAAACTTTTTGCCAGGTCTGTACTTGGATAACTCGTCTGCTTGCCTCTCTATCTGGATTTCTTTAACATACACAGAAGCTACCTCCGGCTCCAATGCCAGCATCACATTATAGGGTTGAATTCCAGCCTGTGAATAAAGGTGCCTGAGTCATATTTCAAACTTATATCTCTTTGTAAAGCAATAGACTTAATGGGTGCATCAATGCCTTGTGTGGCATGCAGTCTTTTGTAAATGTTTTCTTCACTAATGAACAAAAGTTTTCATCTCAGATAACTGATTTCTGAGAAAAGTCACATTTGTCTTGGATGATGAGAAAAATTGTACACAGAATCGTATTAATTTAAATGCTGCCTTTAACAAAAACATAAATGGATAGCATGAATATTAACCTTGTAGGCGCTTTCTTGCATCATCTGCTTTGCCTGCTCCCCCCAGATAGCTGGAACTGTTAGTACCCAGCGAATGTCATCAGCAGAACAAGGTGCCCTTGAAAGGTCAAGGTCACGCAATAATTTGTCCTTGAAATGCTGAATGGACATAGCAAAAATCTTCACTGCAAAGCACTCTTTTCCTTTATCATCTTGAATTACTGTTCCCCTATTTAGGCTCTGTATGAAGGGAAAACAAAAGTAAACTCATGTAAAATGCAGCATAAAGAGAATGTCGTGTTAAACATTAATGTCAAAGTTAAGAATGTATGTATTTCAATTACATTATACCTCATCTCTGTGAAGATTCATTTTAAAATGGCTGAAGTAGAAATAATCATGATGATGGCCTTCCTCACAAAGTTCCTTGTACTTCAACATGGCTTCTTGTCCAAATGCCACAATTTGCTCAGACTTGTCTAACAGCAGAACAGTTGGCTCTTTCTCAGAAAGCTTCTCTGGACTTTTGTATGTCTGGGTGTAAATCTTCTGTGGCTTTTCTTTCCATGAAAATGCATAGCCAGAATAAGTTGTTCCAAAGTCAATCGCAGCAACAAGCAAATAGGAATGGGGTAGCTCTGAAAATTACAGGTAAATCATCATTAAATCATAGATTAAATGTTGGTAATAGCATTGCTAGCCCATTACAAATTTTGTTGTTAACATTCATGCAAGTTACAAATATTCTTATAACAAGAGGCCCAGGGGCCACAGCGTTCACCTGAGCACATCAGGCTTGAATTTACTCCAGCCCCCCCCCCCCCCCCCCAGGCGTTCATCATTTGAACAAACTAGAATCTACACTACCTGAGGATTATTCCATATAAATATCACTAATCATAGCTTTGAAGTACTTGAAAAGAAGATTTTAAAAGGTTTCCCTATATATCCCTATGTAAAACTTGGGTCGGCCATTTTGGCCCCACCCTAGCCCCGGGGGGTCATGATTTGAACAAACTTGAATCTACACTACCTGAGGATAATTCCACATGAGTTTCATCTTTCCTGGCCCAGTGGTTCTTGAGAAGAAGATTTTTAAAGATTTTTCCTATATATTCCTATGTAAAACTTGGGTCGACCATTTTGGCCCCACCCTTGCTCCGGGGGTCATGATTTGAACAAACTTGAATCTACACTACCTAAGGATGCTTCCACATGAGTTTCATCTTTCCTGGCCCAGCGGTTCTGGAGAAGAAGATTTTTTAAAAATGCCATTAATTTTTAATAAATTCATGATTATCTCCCCTTGGAAAAGGGCGTGGCCCTTCATTTGAACAAACTTGAATTCCCTTCACCCAAGGATACTTTGTGCCAAGTTTGGTTGAAATTGGCCCAGTGGTTCTTGAGAAGATGAAAATGTGAAAAGTTTACAACGACAACGACAACGACTATGACAACGACAGACAACGGACAAATTTTGATCAGAAAAGCTCACTTGAGCCTTCGGCTCAGGTGAGCTAAAAAGGCTATTTGAGTATTTAACATTTCAGTTTTCAAGTTTTCATACTGTATGTTTACTAAGCTACAATAAATTATTATGATCAGTGATGGTTGCAAAGAGATTTTAAAATATTAATTTTTTTTTTTCATCAGGTAAGCTACAGAATCAAAAGATATAAATAGATTTTAGTCCTAGTTACCTTTGTAAGAGGCTGATTTAAATGGAGGTGGAAATTCTTGAGCCTTCTCCACAGGAAGTTGTTTTTTACTATAGGGCCCAGGTGGGGATTCAAGGTAAAATGAGGACACTGGCTTTGATGGAGAGGGTTCTTTTTCTTTCTTCATAAACTTTGGTAATTTTTTTGTAAATTTACTCTGTTTATTTTTTTCTTCCTCCACTTCAGGTGATATGATGGAGTGAAGAGAGGATGAAGATGAAGTAGAGCTGATGCTTTCATTTCCCTTGAGCGGTCTCTCAGGGGTTCTGGGAATGTCCTCTTGTGGTGGTCCGCCTGTCACCTCCTCCAGATGTAGTCTCTCAAAGTCTTCTGGTGATCTCGGACTTGGTATTTCTTCCTGCAACCTTTTTATTTTTTGATCTTCCATCTCCAGCATTGCAGGGTCTAAGCCTTTCGTCTCAGTTTCTCTGTCATTTGTTACTGTCACCAAAAGAAATCAGGCTGGAAATATGAAACAGCTGATGTTTGTTCAGCTGTACATGATTTTAGCTGGTACAAACAACAGTTTAGGCCATGCAAAATTAATTCCTTGGTTCTCAGGCCTTTTTTCAAGAAATATGATGAGGGAGGGAGGCATTTTTTTTTTACTTTTTATTGCCCCCAAAACATGATGAGGCAGCTTTTTACATTGTACAAAACCTCAAAAAATGATGAGGGAGGTGATTTGTTGTTTTTATTTTATTGATTTAGCAATAAAAAGGGTCAATGAGGCACCCTTGGAAGAGATGAGGGAGGGCCTGAGAACCAAGAAATTAATTTTTTTTGGCCTTATATAGGAATTATTTTTTTAAAAAATAAAATGTTTTACATGTACATGTATCTCTCAAGACTAAAGTAGTCTTTTCCAATTTTTATAACTATGAAGGAATTATATGCTAATTACAATAACTAAATCAAGCATTTTAAACTGTTCTTTTCTGCAACCGAATATCATGTTTAGGTAATTTAATTTTTTTTTCTAGAAATCCTTTAACTGAAAGGAAAAATATTTACTTGTGTATAAGCAAAATTTGTACTTATGAAATTATATTGTCAGCAGCAGTGGCAATAGGACATTTTGTGATATATTGTTTTGGTCACAAAGAGGGAGCAAAAGGATTTTTTAATTTCTCCTAGAGGTAAAAGAGTTCTACTCATTGAAGACCTGTAAACAAGTCTCCTCTATGAAAACTTGTTGTTACCGCCTCTGTTTTCAGAGTTTCCGAAAACCAAATATTTCTATCAGTCATTCGGACTGATGACTTAATGCGTTCTACCGGTTCGAAGCATATTCTATCAGTCCGAATAAGTTTTAGAATATACAGTGTACATTTCTTAATTATCGGATGTAATTTTTTAAAAATGGCATTGAATATATAAAAATTTCCATGGCTCACCAACACTGATTGTGATACCAAGGTTATGCAACTTATAAATTAATTCAAGCATGGCACCAGCCCACACCAGGTTTGTGGCAGCTTATCAGCCCCAAGTAAATGTTGGGGGAAAGAAACAACTAATTATTTTTAAAAAAGTTAATTCTTGAAAAAGAAAATTTTATTAAGGTTTCTACTTTCTAGAATTCTTTTTAAAATTAAAAGTTCAATTCTCACTTGTAAAATTGAATTATATATAAATAGCAGTTGTGATAGAAATTCAAAATAGACATAAATTTTAAATTATCTGTACGTTTTCTCAGTGGACATTGCACTTCATGACCTATAACTTCATGTGTTTACCATTAACAGAGGAATGGAGGAAATTCGGATTAGGAAAAAAAACGATCGTTTTTGGAAGTAAACAAGTCAAGTAGAACTGCAAAATGGATAAGATTATGGATATTTACAAAGATTAGGAGCTTGCTGCATTGAAAATTTTCATTTATGAAGGCATTGCAATAGATCAGAGTACAATAAATTAATCAGGACAAGCCCTCAACACAATCTGACAATCGGTCACACGGACCGATACTATAGCGAATTTCATCGGACATTTTGATTTTCTATCGGTTTTGCCGGTAGGACCGATAGTTTTCGGAAACTCTGTGTTTTATGACTTACCGGTAGGAGTCAGGGTGAGCAGGGATTCAAACAGAACCCCCTCTGATGACGGTACCTGGTCCTCCCCAATGAACATCTCTGTAATCAGAAGAAAAACACACTGTGTGTAAACATGACAGAAGGGTAAATCATATTAGCTATACTGGTAATTCAGTCCTGCCTTACCTATGTCTTCTGTGGCTATATGCTCTCCATGTATGTTGTCATTTATTCTCAGTAAGTCCTCTAATCCATTATTTTTCAGCATTTTCTCAAATTGAATTACATTGTGATCCTCCTGAAGAATGAACTGTAAGAAATTTGCCATTCGCTGCCTGCGTTTTCCATTCTTTGGTAAGATTTTCTCTTGAATACTATCAACATCTCCAATGCACTTGGATAATGTTTCTCTTGCTAATGTAATCTGCATTTCATCCAGGATATTTTTATAATTAGAAGTTATCATCCTCCTGATATTTTCTATAAAAAAAGCAAGTAAAAATATCCATCAAACTTAAAATATGAAGACTTGTGTTCTAAACAGGAGATTTTGAAAGAAAATGTTCATATACATCAATCGTAACCCATTAAAATAAATTGACCCTCTTGTAGCTATTTGTAAATCTCGATATTTTGGGATCCTGACATGAGAAAATTGGCTCTGCTCTACCTGCACTAATGTTATAAATTGTCACCAAACATTTCTCTCTACACAGAAAACTTTGACCTGCTTTTGTTCATGGTCAGCTAAATACTGTAGATGTACTTTTTTCCACAGAGTCATAATTCCGCGGAATCTCAATTTCTGTTTAATCTGGGGGTTGAAAATTACGCAGATTGATTTCTCATACTGTCATTACTCGTATATGCCTTACATTTATATCAATTATGCTTGAACAAATTTCCGCGGAAAATTGATGACCGTATACATTGCGTAAATTAATACCACGAGGTAAAAAGTAATTCTACAGTACCATAGACACTCACCTGCTCTATTATGAATATCTGCAGGATCAATTAAAGCCACAACCTCAGAATACCCTTTATTCTTTAATGCATTTATAAAAGCCTCCACAGCCCTTGAATCCCCATTCTCAATCAATGTTAAAAGTTTTTCTGTCCGTTCATGAGAAGTTGGAGCATTTTTTACAGAGTCCAACACATTTTGTTCAAAGCAGATTGAATTTGAAAGCACAGAAGTTAGAGCTCTGGGTTCTATCTCTGAGATCAACTCATTCCTGTGCACCTTTATTTTCTTCTTGATAAGTTCTATCTTAGAAATATCTGAAAGACAACAGCAAGAGAAAATTATTTATCAATGTTTAAATGCTTCCAGATAATGCACAAAAGACTTTACCAGTAACATATAAGAAGAATTCGCACCAATTAATTTGATGTTTGCAACTGTTAAATCAGCACCTGTACATTTCATTATGAAGCCTTTTTTGGCTTATTGATTTACCTGGCTTGGCTGCTGCTGACTGAGAATAAGAAACTTGTACCCTGACCTCGAGCGGCTCCATACCCTGAACACTGGGTACATTGACCCTCTTTATCATTCCTAGTACCAGCTCCACCAGCCGGTTGTTTTCTCTGGCATTGAGTAATGTCTGTACAGCTTGGTCTGTGACGGGCCGTAACTGAATGACCACAGAACCAGAGGACACGTCTTCAATGTCCATCTGACCATGTGTAATGGCCTCCTCGAGAATGGCCGTGTCTGTAGAGAGGACCTGCTGAAGGAGAGCTTGTTCTACCTGCCCTCCTGTGGCGCCTTCTACTGCTAGCCTTAGATTTAAAGATCTATTCTCTACACATTCTAAACGAAATATGCAATGTGTTCTATACCATTTATCAAGAACTGATATATGATTTTCATGGATTTTTTAATATCATGCTAAAGTTAATATATCATTATCATCAAGTACATCGAAATTATACCTGAAGCTACTGTGGAAAAACTGTGTGATGCTTTCCATTCTATATTTGATTCTGTAAATAAAAAATATCAGAAAATCTTTCTTAAAAATTTAATCATGATAAAAATACAATGCACATAAAAAATTGCACAGGAAATACTTGTCATACTGTTCAGCCATATTGAATGGTATCTAACAGAATGACTACAGTTTTGGTATTTCCATGATTAAGATACTTACCAGCTCCTACAGCCCCTGATTCTGATTTTTGGAGCTCCGTAAGAACTGCACAATATTCATTACTTTTGAGAATGTGTAAAAAATAATGAAAGCAGTTATTTTCATTTTTCTTGACTGTCTCCAGCAAATGTTGGCTTTGTTTAGAATGTTTTGATGTCTCTGTTATTCTGTCATGATTATAAATGTCTATTGCACTTTCCTCAAACAAAAGGTCACAGAGTTCAAGAGGCTCCAGTTCGTCCAATAGAAAATCATTAGGATCCTCCAGGCATGTAATCTTAAGGCTCCTCAACGTAGGGTCCAATTCTGGCACACCTATAATTGAAGATTCTGAGAATTATATTTGTGGTACAATAACATCATATTCTTAGAGGTAACAATTTATTTATTTATTTTTTTTTTTTGCATGAATTAGCACTTTGATCAGAAAAACAAGAGGTGTTTGTGAAACACTATGCACCTGGCGGCAACAAAGTTTGAAAAGGTTGTCTTTAGCATATTGGTCAAAGTCAAGGTCACAAGGTCATTGATCTTGGTGCCATTTAAAAGAACTTAATATATCAAATATGAAGTCTCTATCTTTTATGGTTCAAAAGTTATGGCGAAGGTTCAAAAAGGCTATTTTTTGCATATAGGTCGAAGTCAAGGTCATAAAGTCATTGACTTTGGTGCCATTTGAAGGAGTAAGTATACCAAATATGAAGTCTTTATCTTTCAAGGTTCAAAAGTTATGGTAAAGGTTCAAAAAGGCTATTTTTAGCATATACCTAATAGTCAAGGTCACAGTCATTGACCTTGGTGCCATTTGATAGTTTAATTAGTGGAGTAAGTATACCAAATATGAAGTCTCTATGTTTCATGGTTCACAAGTTATGGCAATGGTTAAAGTTGACAACAGACAGACAGACAAGACAGAAACAATATGTGCCCCCAATCTATTGATACAGGCACATAGAAAGTTAATTATATCACAAAGCTTGTATTAAACAAAAGAAAAAAAAATATTAATTCAAATAGAGAAAATATACATGTAGTATACCTCTTTTTTTCAATTCAGCACTCTTCTCCCTCATTTTGGTGACCAGGTCCATTCTATTTAATTCTACCTCCACAACTCTGAAGATTTCCTTGCATGCAGGTTTCCCTTTCATCAGAAGTACTTTTAGCAGTTTGGATTTCTGTTTTCTTGCACTGGTAAAACTATTAATTTCAGAAATGTTTGTTTGGTCCAGGAATCCAAACATCTGATCCACCATTATTTTGGCATCTTTACTGTCTGGAAGTTCCTCTTTGAGAAGACAGAAGTTTTGTTGTATGCACACAGCATAGTCAGCTACAAACAGAGTTATCAAGGCATTAGTAAAATATTCCAACTCAACTGAATAAATTTTAGAATTAGCCCTCTTTTTTATGCCCTACCGTAAATATGGCCGGGGCATATATACATGACATATAATGTATAGTGTTTCTCATGTCTGTCTTCCATCTCTCCGTTCTTATGTCTGTCCTTCTGTCACACTTTGCATTTAGCCCATTTTTGAAATTTTTCCAAGATATTTCATCAAACTTTATATGCTATACATATTAATGAAACCTATTCAAATACATAAACATTTTTTTACCTTCATTTTTCCTTTGGCCTTGACCTAATTTTTCCTTAAATTTTCTTAAATTTGTATTTAGATCAATTTCAAAAAAAAAATTCACTTTTCTTAAATATTTAAAAAATTTGACCATGACGATTGACCTTACTCACTTAAATTATTATTTATATCAATTACAAAGAAATCCAAGTTATTTTTATCAAACCTTATGCTAGTATTTTATTTATATTGATAAGCTGTTTAACTACATAACCTTTTTTGACCTTGCCTTTCCTTTGACCTTGACTTCAAACAAATTAAGAAATTGAAATGATCCATCAATCTCTTTCAATTCTGTGTTTAGCGTAAAGACATAGGATCAGTCATGCGAGGGCACTGTAAATATGTTGTGACTTTTCTTGATAATAAATGTACCTCTAAAACTTTTTATTGATAGCTTAGAGATTTCCATGAGTGATTTGCAATCCAAATTGCCCAAAATGCATATTTATGATAGTTTTAAGATTAAAGAAGTTACAAAGCACATGCTTTTAATGTATCAGTTTGAAACATTCTTGCTTTAAGTAGGTCATGAAATTATAATACTTATTTTTTTTTTTAAAAATCATCCTTTAAATACATATTTATGGAGAAGTACTTACAAGGCTTCTTTGTCATTTTTCTATCCTTTTCTAGTGTATCTAGCACCTGGAGATACTTTAAAGACTGCAGGATAAACACAAAGTGAGAATACAGTTTCTTGTTCTTTAAGATTTGGAGAAGCTCTGTTACACGTTTATATTTGCGGTTAGGATCAGTCACAGTGTCGTGGTCTTTATCAGTGATGTCACCGGACTGAAACATCTCATCAGCGATTTCACGGGGTTCCAGTTGTGTATGCAGGCATGATATATGTTTCTGTAGGAGATCATCTGTGACTAAAAAGGGTGGATTTCTCTGTGTGACACCTAAAATAGAGAGACATTCCATGTTTTGAGACTACTATTATTAAATATAAATTTCTTTCTTTTGAGTGACTCCATTCCTTTCCAAGAATTAATATATTAACCAAACAGTGAAACTTGAGTATACTCACAGCAAAAGGATGTTTTATATATACAAGACAAACATGGACAAGATTTTTCAATGATATTTTTTGTAAATTTGTTTTGTAAAATCCTGTTTGTGATAAATGTACCATTTCCCTAACTCATAAGTTTAACTATTCTAAATCACCATTTCAGTTTTATTTTTTAAAGAATGAGAAATGTTCCTGCCTTCCATTTGAATGATTTTATCAAATTCTCTTAATGAAAGGATTCTCTGTAAAATTGTTAAAATTGAACCTGTAATTCTAAAAAAGACTTCAAAAGGAATGTAAATTAAAGCTAAACTGAACATAAAGCTGATTAGATGGAGGAAGGGATGTATGGAAATGGAAGATCAGAATATCTCACTGAAGCTATTAGCTAAGTGAACATGTTTGAACAAGTGAGACTTACATTTCCTAGCCTCTGCTTCCACCTGTTTACGAGCTTCAATAATCTTCTTGGCAACAAAACAAGATTTTCTGCTCATGAGCTCTATGAAGATTTTACACCTTTTCTTCCTGATGATATGTTTAATGAGTCTCTCACACTTTGACTGTCTGCAGGGTCTCTCACACACATAGGTATCTTCCTCTTTCTCATTCACTATACCCTCTTGTCTTAATTCGTCTTGGAGGTCTTCATAAATAATGTTATCTTTCAGGAAAACAAACGAATTCCTGACAGCTAACTCATCTGGACAAGGATGGCATTCTTAAATGGAATTATTTAATTAAATGTATGAAAAAAAATTATTGTAAATACATGTCAGTGAAATGTGTTTCTTGTGAATTGTAATTATAGTTCATACATTTATCAATCTCTATGGGAAATTTCCCAGATCTACTTTGTTGCTATAAATGATGATCTGTAGGCCAAAACATAGATCTTATCTAATTAACTAAATACTTATTTATTAATATGCCCCTCAATAGATGTGAACATAATATCAAAATTAAAAAAAAAATTTCTTTGCATGTGGTCAACATAAATTGATAATTTTTTTTGAATTGCTTATTAATTGTAAAATCATATACCCAGTACTTGTATACAAGTATTTACCTTGTGTCATACCAAGGGACCAAACACCAGAGTCTGAAGTTAGAAAAAAAAAAACAATGATTAGAAATAAACAAATAATTTATTCCCATTTCTACTACTGTATTTGTAATTGTCAATTTAATAGAAAAGCCAAAGATTTTATTCTCCAAAAGATCATGAACATCATCAAAAGCAGATTATCAGAACAGAAACAAATATTCATACATCAATATTTACATTTGCAAATGTTTTCCTTTATATAACACTACTGAAAGCAAATGTTTTTATAACTGTATAAATACAGGTACGGGGTCAAGAGGTCATAGATGTGCGTATGGATAAATGTTTGATGTAATTTCTCAGTGACGTCATAAAGGGTCAACGTGCGTTCAGTGGATTACATACATGCCGTTGGGTTTGAAAAATAATGCATTTCACACGTTAAAAGTCACAATCAGGCAAATTTAAAGTATGAATAAGTCACAAATGTAAATATAATTAATAAGGTATTATTTTTTTAGTTTTATTGGGATGTAAAACGGGTTGGCACATGATCAAATCTTCCATAAAGCCCTTCGGGCTTTATGGGATTTGATCACGTGACCAACCCGTTTTACATCCCAATAAAACTCAAACAAGAGGCTCATGGGCCACATCGCTCACCTGAGCAATGTGGCTAGGAAAAAAGCATAAATCAGTTTATTATTGAAAAGTTGAAACTCAATAGTGGTCCCAAACAATCCTTAAAAAGGAGAGGGTATGATTTGAACAAACTTGAATCTACACTAACTAAGGATGCTTGCATATTTCTTTGACTAAATTTGGCTTTATTGCCCTTTACATTTGAACCTAATTACATTGTCGTCCCGCCCTACACCCAGGGGTCATGAATTGAACAAAATTGAATCTACACTACCTGAGAATGCTTCGATATGAATAGGACTGATCATGGCTTTGCTATTATTGAAAAGGTGATTTTTATAAAGATTTTTTTACATGTTTCTATGTAAAACTTGGATTCCATGTTTTGGCCCCGCCCTACCCCCAGGGGTCATGATTTAAACAAACTTAAAAGTCCACTGCCTGAGGATGCTTCCATAAAAATATGATCATTCATGCCTTTGCTATTCAAGAGAAGAAAATTTTTACAGAATTTTCCTATATATTTCTATGTGAAACTTTGATAGGCCATTATGGCACCGCCCTACCCCCAGGGGTCATTATTTGAACAAAATTGAATCTCCACTACCTGAAGATGCTTCCATAAAAATATGATTATTCATGCCTTTGCTATTCCAGAGAAGAGGATTTTTAAAAGAATTTTCCTTTATATTTCTATGTGAAACTTTGATTGGCCATTGTTGAACAAACTTGAATCTACACTACCTGAGGACCTATGATATTACATCGCTATATCTGTAGTTTGTTATATCCATATATATAAAGGAATTGGTTTAAATTTATTTAGCTGGGGATCCAAGATAACTTCACTATATCCGTGAATTTGCAAATATACATGTTTGTACTAAACAAGTTTTACTGCAGAACAGGCAAAATGGAAATACAGTAAAACCTGTCTAATCAGGACTTGTTCATTCAGAGATCATGCCTATAAATAGGACTTTTAAAAACTTCAAGACCCTTTAAGATAATTTCAACTAGAACATTGTTCACTGAATTAGGTGCAGTTTTATGCTGTGTTTAACATTTCTTCAACAATCAATATAGTAGGTAGATAAGTTTTACGTGCATTCCTAACTTACCATCAGAGACTTGTGATATTTGCCTTGCTGGAGAAGGAGTGACCATGGAGTTACCTTCTCTTTATCAATCACGACAATGAAGAATGTGCAGGATCCATTTTCCTGTAATTAATATTCTAAGAGTTATTATATTAGTGTTTTTGGTACATACATTTAGAATTCTTTTTTTTTTATCTCTAAGCATTACCTTTCATCTGCAGTCAAAGAAATTAACCCCCTGATGATTATCAATGACACCACCCCCACCCCATCACCATCCTATAAAGGGATAACTTAACATAAATGGCTGTGAATTAGAGTCATTTCTTTGGTAGGAAACCAAAGTACCCAGAGAAAATGTTCTAGTTTAAATGGGCCACCAGTCCACCATCTTACATGAACACTGTAACATACGAGCACTCTGATCACACTCTGGGATCGAACTTGGATCACTGCGCTCAGTGGACAGGGGTCTCATATCAGAAAACAGACACTAACAGAGTACAAAATAAAAACCAGAAGTCTCTGTTGAGACTAAAGCTCTACTGGTTTGTACTTATAGCAAAGGAAGAGAAAAGTACTTAAGAAGTTGGAAATTGAAACTTCACAACAGCAATAAATAGAATAATGATCCTTGATAAAGTCTCTTTATGTTCTTAGTGTAGTCTACTTGTGTGCCAAGTTATATTGAAATCAGACCAAAAACTGTAGGAGGATTAGCATTTTGAAAGAAATTTAACAGAAATTTCTATTTTTAGTAACCATGGCAATAACTTTCATCGAAATCAAAAACCAATACACAGAATTATGTATCTTAGTGTAGTCTACTTGTGTGCCAAGTACCGGTAGCATGAAAAATTGTTTACATACAGAATTAGGTCTTACTAACCAAAACTGTAGGCTAAGGCCAAAAAAAAAAATAGTCTTGTTTCCTGCTACCAGCCTGAAAAAAATAGGGTCGGTAGGTAGGAAAATTATTTTTATTTTATTAAATTTATTATATTTTTTCCAAAGGTATTTTTTGGATATGAACTACTACAAAACCAAATAAAACATGTCATAGCTAGGTCAATATTATCTTTTTAAAAGAAATTTCATGTCTTTTGATGCACAACTCAGGTGGAATTTTATAAAAGCTAGAACATATTTTAAACATATATTTCATGAAATAGAATTTGAATCTATATTTTTTTTCACTTTTGGATCATAAAGTTCCTGCAATTTCCATTTTAAAAACAAATAAAAAAAACAGTCAGGCCTGGAAATAAGACTATTTTTATTTTTCTCCTAAAACTTGAAAGGTTTTCTCAAACTTGAAAGGACGGAGAAAAACTTGGAGATCACTGAGGATTCAAGATACCCAGGGTAAAATAAATAATGAATAAGTAGTTGGGACTTTGACATATCCATGGTATTTGAAATATCGGTGTTCAAGATACCAAAGTTCAAATGTCCTTTATTCCAGTAGATACAAGACTTCTGTAGATTTATATATATGAACTTAAATGAAAAAAAAATTTTTACTGGTGTAAATTTTACAAAACACTGTAGGTCAAACTTTTAAATTCAAATATGCTAAATATATTTGTGTGTTCATGTGCATGCGCAGATCTGATGCCTTGTGTATATTGATTTACAATGTCTATTTATGCATTGCTTGCTTTCTGGAAAGGAGGTGTGACAAGCGGGGGAAGGTATGGGAACCACAGTATCCCAAATTTGTTTTGCTTTATTTTTTTTTCAATTTTTTTAAAAAGAGGGGTGTGGGCATGATCCTGACCTGAGTGCATGTGCACATCGACCCTACTTCATATTTCCTTGAATTTTTATCATGCACTTGTTACAAGGACTGTGGATAGAGTTTTTGGTGATTGCAGGGATTGGTAGGCCTCACTGCAATGTCAGAGAATATGAAGCTTTACAAATCATCAATGGCAGGGAGTTTATGGCCATAAAGTAGGCCTACGTCAAAAACGAAAGTAAGAAAATTCATATTATTGAAATTAGGATTACAAAAATAATCTAACATAATAATTACATTCACTAACTATATAATAATACTGAACCGTGTGTGACACATTATTAATCTTGTCATGTACGTCGGATCATGATACACGCAGGTCCACAGGTGAAATCATCAGATATAAAAAAAATGGCCGACTCTTGAGGTGTTCATAACTTCCCCGTCTGTCAAGGTCACATTAGCTATGAAACCGAAAGTTGATTCAACACCCATTGATTACAATCCCACTTACCCATCCCCCCAAGAGAATAAAAAAAAAAGACATACTTTGAATCTTGCAGTGTAATACCAGAGGTAGGAATAAAACTCGCCAACATCTGCTGGCTATAAATAGAAGCCGTGACGAACCTTGGGATTTTTTGCTAGTTTCGGTTTTATCTTGGTTTGACATAAACAGTGTTTTCTTCTATCGTGATCTATGTAGATGGTATGTATAACTTTATTTAAGTATAATTTAGTAGACACTTGACATATATACAGAATTAATAGAAAAAATATATTACTAGGGTTTTAAAGTGTGATCTGTTTAAGTAACCATGGCATGTGTTGTGGTGATGAAAACTACTCCAGTTCCAGAAACTTAAGGTTCGATCCATAATGTTAGGGAATTTCATGATAGAACCATGGATCACTTGGACATTATACGTGTACTAGTACACATGGCACGTGTACTTTTATATTTTAACTTAGCATATTTACGAGACAAATCCTTAGAAAAACTATGCGCGGATCTAGAGGAGTGTGTGGGGGAGGGGGGCTGGAATTTGCAGAGTTATTAATTTTTATACTAAACAAAGTAAAAGGTGGCCTTCGAACCCCCTACCCCCCCCCCCCCCCCAACCCTCGAAAACTTGGAAATGGTTAAGTTGATATGAATATAGTCATAGGTATGAAGAAGATTTGAAAAAAGGACTTGCAGGTTTGGCAAGATATTGTATACAGGGAAATGTTTGCACCCGTTTTATTTTCGCCCCTTTCGCCCTTGTCCAAATTTGGCCAATTCAAACAGGGCGAATTCAACAAACACAGCATTATTCTTAAACAGAATTTTGACTTGGTGAATTTAAAACGGGGCAAACTTGTAAACAAGTGTAAAAGGGCAAAAATAACCCTGTTTACAGTCACTTTTTTTTGGCTTGTCAACAAATTCCTAGGTTGGATTTTTTTCACTGGAGTGGACCTCGCCCCCCTTCAGAAAAAATTCCTGGATCTGTGCCTGAAAACATTGAAAATAAAATAGGCTATGTATTTTGTGAAAATGTTCAAATTTAGAAAACATGAAAAAAATCCATTTTTAAACTCTATTTGGTTTCAGGTGTAAAGATTACATGCAACTTTGAAGTTGCTTACTTAGTATTGAATAGTTTGACTTTTTATCTAAAAAAAACAATGCACACATCGTTATAGATTCTCACATTCTTATATTTCATTTCTAGTGAATTTAATGGTCAGATGGCAATTAACAAACAAAATTCATGGAAAAGAAAATTCTACAAAAATGTGAGATGAGTGGCAAAAATGCAGAATCACATTTAGGCCTTAAGTGACCAACATATATGTATAAAACAGTGAAATGTCTGGATTAGAAGAAATACAACAGAGTGCAATGTCAGGGTTGGAAGAAAGAGTAAAGCATGAAGCGATTTCTGGAGCAGAAGGAAATCCAGACCCCGATTCCTCCAGTAAGATGATTGTAGCTGCCATGGACTTTGGAACCACATACTCAGGATATGCCTTTAAGTTTAGGCACGAGGCGGCAAAGAAAATGTACATCAAATCATGGAATAAAGAGGCTGGCAGTAGCTGTTTGCCCTCTGAGAAAGCTCCAACATGTGTTCTCCTCAGAGGAAATGGTGAATTCAAGTCATTTGGTTATCAAGCAGAAACTGAATACAGCGAAATCGCGAGTGATGGGCTGGAGGAAGACTGGCATTTTTTCAGGCATTTTAAGATGCTCCTCCACAGTGAAGAAGTAGGTGCATTTTTTCCTTATTTCAATTTTTACAGAATTTTTCTTGATTACTAGATTGCATCTTTTATTTTGATCACAGGGACTTAGCAATGAGACAACCTTGACAGATTCCAGAGGATTCAAAATGCCAGCATTAGATATCTTCACACACTGTATCAAGTACATGAAAGATGACTTACTAGATATTGTAAAAAAGAGAAATGTTGATAACCTGTTAACAGATGATAACATTCTATGGGTTTTAACAGTTCCTGCCATCTGGGATGAACCTGCAAAACAGTTCATGCGAGAAGCTGCAGAAAAAGTAAGTCAATACTAGAACAACACAACGGTCATTTGTCCTAGAGAAACTGAAGTATACGAAACATAAATTGTACATGTTTTTTGTTTACATAAAAAATATTTACTAATTTTTGGGGGAAAGAAGTTGACACAATAATATTTCTTTGAAAAAAAGAAACATTGAATTAGACTAAAACAAGCTAATCCAGAGTATATATTTCCCCCATTTAAGGAAAAAATCAGCATGCAGAATCAGATGGATAGGGACATAGGGAGTTATGGTATAAACTTCAATATTGCAAAAACTCAAAAACTTCTTGAGATATCACCCAGAAATGAAAGTTCTACAAACCAAATGTATCTTTTGACTCAAAAATCTGAAGGGATATTCCTAAGACCATTGGAAGTTATTGGCATTTTCTCTGCTAAGCAGGGACGTAGCAACAGGGGGGGGGGGGGGCCGGGGGGGGGGGGGGGCTGGCCTCCCCACTTTTTTTTTCCCCAACATTACCTTCACTATAGTAAATGTCCATTGAAAGGATGGTTGGCCCCCACTTTTAACCATAGCATAGTGATATCAAGGAATTGTACGGAAAAATTGGAAATGAAAGTAACTTGGCCTTAAAAAAAATTGGCCACTACCGCGGTTTTTTTTTTTTTTTTTTTTTTTTGCTTGTCAACTTTTTCAGGTAAGTAAAAAAAAAATCTTCTCTGGTTGCCCCCCCCTTTCAAAAACGATGCTACGTGACGTGCCTGCTAAAAACTCAAAGGCTTCTTGAGATATTGCGCGGAAACGAAAGTGTTGAGACAGAAAAAAATTATTACCTTGATCTTTTGACCTAAAATCAATAGGAGTCTTCTTTAGGTCATGGGGAGTTGTGTAAAACACCATTGCAATTGGTCAAACGCGTATTGATAAATCGCGCAGAAACGAACGTGCTATAGACAGGCAGCTGGACAAACGAACAAACAGACCGAAATTAATATCTCCCAAAGTGAAAGCAGGAAGTAATAAAACCACCCCTCCTTTTATCACCCTTCCTTCTATACAAAATAATAATTTTTACATGTGTTTAAAATATATGGTTAAACGACACTCGCCAGCACAAAATGTCATTTTGAAAATGTGTGCGTCTATGACATATGACCCGAAATCTCTGACGTTTTCTTAGCTTTTTAACGATGTTGAGTTTTTTGGCACTTTAAAATCAAAACTTGGAACAAATCCTGGGAAATGTCTCATGTTTCGGACCAGATAACATCCTGCTAATATTGAATTATCTCTTAGAAACTAATCTAACTCACTCTATCCAATCTCTTTTATGTTGTCACAAGAATTATTTCTATTTACAGGCGGGAATCGATGGCGATAACTTGGTGTTGGCGCTGGAACCAGAGGCGGCGTCCGTCTACGTCAAAGAAATGAACGTAGAAGTTCAGCAAGAGATGAATCAGTCCCGCCTGTCTGCCTTTTCTCCGGGAACCAAGTATATGATCGTAGATTTAGGTGGTGAGTTTGAGTTTAACTATTGAAAAAGAAAACTCTGAACGTGTCTTTCGCTAAGTAAATATTACGTCATAAAGCTTCAGCGGTGTTTGAATAATATTCTTGATTTTATTTTTAACTTTGGGGTCTTTGAATCAATATAGGATCGATGTCTGTTTCGTCTTTACAGGTGGAACTGTGGACGTAACTGTCCGGGAAGTCTTGGATGACCGATCTCTGAGGGAAATTACGAAGGCCAGCGGCGGGGCGTGGGGAGGACTGCGAGTCAATCAACAGTTTTATCAGTATATTGAAGGGATAGTCGGGAAGGAACTGATGGAGAAACTTAAGGAGGAATATCCTGCGGCTCACCTAGACCTTGAGCGAGAGATAGAACAGAAAAAGCGGAACTTACAAGGCGACGAAAATAAGAAAATTTCAATAAATCTTCCAGGAGAATTGTTAGATTTGTTTGAGAATAGCAAAAATCAAAAGTTGTCGGATTTTGTAAACTCTTCGGATCATTACAAAGGGAAAGTGGAGATGAGACATGAAAAACTCCGATTTGACCTTTCGGTAACCTTTTCCATGTTTAAGCCCGCGGTAGATAGTATTTTGCATCACATTGGAGAATTGCTTTCAGACTCAGTCACTAGTGGTTTACAAAATATAATGCTTGTTGGCGGATTCTCTGACTCCAAAATTATCCAGAGAACAGTAAAGGAGCGCTTTAAGGACTTGAGAGTTGTAATTCCTCAAGATGCGGGTCTAGCCGTCCTAAAGGGCGCTGTTTTGTACGGGGAGAACCCACTCATTGTGTCAGAACGAGTCAGTCGATTCACGTATGGCACTAAACAGTTTCGTTATTTTTTGGATGGGGACCCTTCTGAATTTAGGGAGGAGGTAGGGGGTGTACCATACTGCAAGAACGTTTTTAACGTCTTAGCAAAAAGTGGTCAAACGTTCCGCGTAGGTCAAAAGGTCAACACAGAAGTCTCGCCAATTATACCAGATATGACGCGAATGCCAGTTATATTTTGCCAGTCAAACAATCCGGAGCAAAAATACGTTGATGAAAGTTGCAAAGAAATTGGAACCTTATTAGTGGATATGCCAGACACAACAGGTGGTCTTGACCGCATTGTGGATGTGTCCTTGACCTTTGGTGACACAGAGGTACATGTAACGGGTACTGATAGATCTTCCAGGAAGAAAGTTTCTGTCTCGATTGACTTATTGAGGAGAAATTAGAGGAAATCCATAATTATGGATTATTTATTGAATTTTTCTGATTTTTACTTTCCTTTCCCTGATTTTTACTCTAAAATTGTCCTCCATCGATCTGACAGATGCTTTTTTATGGAGAACCGAAACTCGATAGTTTTGCATTCAAACACAGTCTAGTGCTAATGCAGGGTTGTTTTTGTCACCATTCTTTTCAGTCGCAAAGTGTCAGGGGGGGGGGGGGTCTCACAAAATCCATGGCTTTCAACGATGGCTCATGCTCATTTTAAGTTTTGGTTTTATTTCAATAAATTTTGTTAGGTATTATTTTATTAATTTTGTGATTGCAAGATCGAACAAGAAGCCCAGGGGCCATATTGCTTACCTGAGCACTTTGGCTAGGAAAAAAATGAGTTCAAAGTTAATTTATATATACTGTATATCTTCCTTACAGCCAGTTTTATTTAAGGAATGAATTTAATAGCTACCCATTTTATACGGTATAAACTGGGTTGGGGCAGTTTACGCTTTATAAACCGCGAAGCGGTTTATAAAAAAGCGTAAACTGTTCCAACCCAGTTTATACCGTATAAAATGGGTAGCTATTAATTTCATTGCTTATAATTTAATTTTCATTCATTCGCTATAAGAAAAAAAGATAATTGGTCTAATAAAATGACTTCAATTTGTACAAAATTTGAATGTAACGTCAGGCGGATTGATACGTTTTTGACGCAAGTCACTGTGACGTAGGCAACCCATTTTATACGATATGAAGTAAATTTTTTATCCAATCAAATACAGCGTTACAATCAGAATTAAATTATTTTCATTTATTATTTGTCTTCTTTTTCGTGTATCTATGTATAAAGATGTTTACTACCTAATCATGCGTTGAATCATGTGTATATGAAGTAAACGATGCAGTACATATATGTTGTTGAAAGCAGTTTTTTTTTCAAACAGATATCACCTATCCCCCATACTAGGTGATATCTATTCAACAAAAAGGTGTCTTCCACCAGTGTACTATTTCTGTCAATACTAAGCAGCAGAAGACACAGCTTACTTATGGCTGTAATGCCCCCTTAAAAGCTAATCTAATGATGGATTTGAACAATATTGAGTCTGCACCACCTGGGGAAGCTTCCTTTTGAATACTAGTATGATCAATCATACCTTTGCAGTTTTTGAGAAGAATGTTTCAAAAGATTTTCCCAATATATTCCAATGTTAAAATTTGATTGGCCATTTTGGCCCCGTCTTACCCCCTATGGGTCACGATTTGAATAAAACTGAATCTACGCTACCTGAGAATGATTCCACGTGAGTTTCATCTTTTCCCGGCCCACTGCATGGTTCTCGAGAAGAAGATTTATAAATGATGCTTAATTTTACACTAATTTGTTATAATCTCCCCCTGGAAAAGGGTGTGGCCCTTCATTTGAACAAAACTTTGATTCCACTTCACCCGAGCATACTTTGTATCAAGTTTGGTTGACATCGCCCCATTAGTTATTGAGAAAATTATGAAAATGTGAAAAGTTTAGACAACTTGACGTCGGCAGACAATGGACTCAGGTTAGCCTGGTTCCCTGTCCCTGTTTTTGCTTCGTATCAGGTGAGCTAAAACGTAACGTGTAGTAGAACCTCGTATTTTGGCTGACGTTTCCATAGCCGTAGCGTCATGACGTCAGAGAAACCATGATAACGTGCTGAAGAAAAACATCAACACTAGCAGATTCCAACAGACACAGGACAGGTAAATTTTATGTTCCTGTCAGTATTTTCTAAAAAATACAAGTTGTATGGATTTAATCTTTTCTTTAAGTATTTCTTTAAATACATGTAATGATTATCATGATTTGCTTCAGATGCATCTAAAAGGTCGGAAAAATAAATCGAGATGGACAAGGAAGATGGGGATACGCCAGGTGAGTGTTGTAAACCGTACAGGTGTTACAGGTGTTATTCTGTATTGTCACCATGTTCCGCACCACAAGGGTTCTTCGACTGTTTTAATGAAATATTTTCTCTCTAACATATCTAGAAAGTATTAGTAACTGCGAAAAATCCAAAAGCTAAAACTAGGCTTAGTCTTTTAATAAAATTAAAGTATAGTATACACCGTCCATTATGGTCCAGATTGTACCTTAGGACTTGACCCCCCCCCTCCTTGTACTGACCCCGAACCTTTATGATTTCTGTATAGAGTGGGTTGAGAATTAATTCTTTACACACTTTATCGGGCTTATGGTTTGGGTTACATAACAAATATCTCAATAAAAGTAATGTTATATATAAAAAAAAAGATAGGACAGGCGGTCAATATTTATAGGGAGGAAGGGGAGGGGGTCCTGTTCTCAAGCACCTGTGGTTATTCTGTAGTGTCAGACACTAGTGGACAGTACCTTGTAGTTCAAATAATAAAACAACAAGCCATTTAAACCTGTATGTCGTTAAGATGCTGCGTGCCCAAGAGACTCAGCGGACGGCTATTCGGGAGTTGGATGTGAGAGTTCAGAGCTTGTCATCGCAGAGAGAGACATCCGACGCCGACACACTACAGTCCATGACGGGCGGCCAACAGAAGGTACGGTGTACATACCCGGTAAATGTAATGGGTAGGACAGCTAGTAATGGTCTAGACTTAGTTAAGTCCTTGGTGTTTTTCATTTCAAACCAATAAAGTACTTATAATCGATATTAATTTTTGCGCAACTTTACTTTTTTTTTTTATCTCTGTCTCTCGATCGATACTACTCGCCCTCAAATACTGATTATATCGCGCCTAAGGATAGAAAGGATCTGGTGAGTGGTGTAGCCCATGGGCCTCTTTATTTCAATGTCAATTGTTACTTAATATATCTTTGAATGTTGAAGCAATTTTTCCAAACTTGGATTGGCAGAGACAACCCATTTAATGAAGCCGGGGCTGCCGACAGAGAATTAGACAGAATCAGAGACCAGCAAAAAGTCATTGTAGGTACAATTCTTATGGATTGGGGGGGGGGGGGGGGGGGTGGAGTGGAGTCATTAATTCTTGGAGGTAACTTGAATGGATCGATATTAATATATAGAAAAAAAATAATGTGTCAACTCCAAGTAATATAAGGAAAATACAAATTTGGGTGATGTTGGTGCCTAGATATTATCAGGAGGGAGGAGGGGGCGGATCAACATATTTTTATTCTGAGGTGTGAATATTAATATTTTTCTGACCATTATTTCTGCCACATTATTGAGCTCAACAATTGAATATTGATGAACACATCTTTTGAATTCGTGATAGGAATAGTTTATGCTTAGTCGTATGTAATTAAATTCATTCATGTGAAGGATTAGTAAATAATTTTATCATTAAACTCATAAAATTAATTAGTTTAAAATATATTAATTCATTTAGAAATGGATTGAACAGCAGGCATAAATGCCTATGATCGTTCTCTCCATAAAATTTATTGTTGCAACAAGCATGAAGGTTCGACGTAATCCATGCATAAGTTCATTTTGTTTTGGGTATAAATGTGGAATGAACTTTATCTTTAGATTATTGATGTATGACATCTTCAATGTTTTGAGTTGTTTTTTTTTTTTTTGTAAATCAGAGTTATATGAATAATAAAAAGAAAGAATAAGTGCTCTATGTCGTCAGGTGTTAGCGTTATCTGGATATCTTTTGTTGTTTTTATACATGTATGTATTTATTATACATACTCTGTATACCTAGGAGAAATGGAATCAGAAATGGAAGACGGCGAGAATATCGCATGGAGACACAAACCACAAGGTAAAAAGTTTGTAACACAGATACTACAACTGAGAACAATTTGCCTTTTAAAGGGGAGACAATCAAGAAAAACAACCACATCAGAGTGATAAATCACGTCTCTTTATCAAAGGCCTATATTGCTATATATACTCAAATAATCATTTCTGTTAACTTTTCATAAATATAAAAGACAAAAATACTGCTTACAAGTTTAATTTCATCAAATAAACAGGATTCATTAGAATTGTGCCTTCTATGCATACTTTAGATCTTTTTATACTGAGTAGTTGACATATTCCGATATTTACACGTTTTTGTGTGTGTTTCAGCCACAGCACCAGCGATCAAAAGAAGGGAACGTTAACATGACCTACATCAATGTTAGTTTGTTTTAAAACAATTTTGTCTATTTCTTTTGATCACTTTGTTTTATAATAGAAATGTTTTACATGTTGATATTATTTTGAACCCAGACCTATGTGAGAGCAGTGATCGAGTCGGCCTATTTACTTTGGTACTGGGAAGTCTGTCTTCGGGATAACGTTGGAGATTATAAGAGTACGCCAAGATTGATATAAACACAAGGTATTCATTAGATATCAGGAAAACTACATTGTAGTGAGGGGATACAGTGTTTTTAAACATTCCTTTCTTAGTATTAAAGTTAAACATTTTAACGCAATATGAGCTGCATTCTTGAGCATTTTATTTTGCTGGTAAAATGTGTTATTATGATTAATCTGTATGCAATCTAAACCCTTATGATGAATAAAACCAAAATTAAGTTTGAAAATGTTTCAGAAGAAATATTTCTGTGCAACTGAATATACAGTATTTTTTATAAGAAATCATTATTGTACAGGACGACAATAATTCAATTTTGCTTCAATCAACGCGTATAAAAAGTTCTTTTATAGCAAATATGAACAACAAAAGTTTATAAATGTTCTATTTTTCTGCCATTGAAATAGTTAATTACAAATTTGCAACATTTTTTTCCGATGTCAAACATGCAGCTCATATTGCTTTAAGCTTATACAACTGCACTTTTGCTAAACTTTATCTACCAAATGGTTAGTATTTAAAATGCAGAAGGAATTTAAAACAAAACTTTTTTTACAATATTTTTAATTTCAAAACAGAATTTTTTGTTTTAAATGACTTGCAAAACCTTATTTTTGTTTCAGATGCTGTGCATTGACCGATGTCGAAGAAATTAGAATACTTTGATACACAAGTTTTAGAACTTTTTTTTTTTAACCATTTAAACTTTCTTACCCATTATTTTTAACAATTTACACAGGTTTCTTTATACTCTTTTTGTACATATTTTCCTTCTTATGATGATAATTTATTGCAGGCTGTATTTATATACATGTATTTAATAAATATGTACTGGGGAAAAACATTGATTACTTTGTTAAAAATTGAAAGTAGCAAATGAAGAAAATGTTAAAAGATCTCTTTACTACAAAATTTGATTAGTATTAAAAACCCATCTCTAAAATAAATTCTGCTTTCAATACTTTGCAATCTGGGCATGAATTATACAGTAGTCCATGTTCATGGAATAAACAATGAAATATTTTAATAAGTTGGTTTATTTATGATGGTTTTTTTTCATCTACATGTACATAGAATTTAATATAAATGATTACTTATCAAACAGAATTACAAAAAATCAGCAAGATTGGAAAGAATAATTTATATCTATTGTACAAGACTGGAATACTGAGTTTTACATTCTGACATTCATTTTCAATGAATGTACATACACTAGAAAATAAAATCAAAAAGATAACAATTTTTCATTCAAAACTTGCACAATTGTGCACAAACAAAATTAAATAAATTTTAAAAAGGCATCATTTTCATCTCTGCTCTACACACACTCTCAAGAGACACATCCACCCCACAGGATGCCTGATACCTAGCTCTCACTGAATATAAACTGCACCCGACACGTGTATCAATGAATACAATCTATGTTTATAGTCAAACATCACTGAAGTAACAACAGGTTACAGAACAGAAATCAGAAAATACTGTAAACCAACTTTAATTCACCTGTGAGAATTTTTCTCGAGGTATTGCAAGAGTCTGGTTGTTCTGAATATTTCTCGCTGTGAACCGGTCCTCAAAGTCTCTGTGTCTATTAACAACAGAACAAGAAAAGGCTTGATCGCAATAATTAATCTTCGCAAACTTGTTTACCCCAGATTTTCACGAATAATAGTTGGTTTACAGTACATACTGTGTTACAAGATACAAAGATAGTCAGATTATGGAATTATGTTAAATAATAGCAAGCAACAAATTCTAAAAGATTTTGAAATTGAGCATTCATTTGTTAACAAACTTTGAAAGAAACTGATGTTAATAGAGCATTCGTTTTTTAACAAACTTTATAGGAAATTGATGTTTTTCTTGGCAATTCATAACTGGAATACATGTAGGTATTAAAGCAAGATCAATATCTAAAACGTAAAAAAAAGAATATATTCTGAGTACATGTACATGTATCTATAAGTTAGTATTAAGTGTGAATCACTAAAGAATCAACAGAGTCTGACACCAAACATCACAACTATTAAATATGACATCACACATTTCACTCAACGATGCAATTCATTTTACAGTACAGACCTGACATTTTACTACCAAATAACAAATACATGACATAAAATACAATTTACATTAAAACTTTAAAAAAAAAAACCCACATGTATTAACACACTGACAATCATTAAATCCACGAATATGATGATTACCACAAATTTATGCATGGAATTAAACGACCTTCAATAAGTTTATAAAGGATTCAGTGTGTACTTATTTTAACAAAGATATACAATAAATACTTATTGAAGCAAATCATTTCTAATTCCAAATATTTTCCCTACTTCCCAATGCAAGTCTTTACTAATTCTAATGTTAATGTAAGTCATTTTTAAGGGTCCTAATCCATCAATCTAATCACACTGTAAAACAACATAAAATATTCATTACCTACATACATATCTTCTTCCTCACTTGACTCATGAAAAGAAAGTTTATAAAAAGAATGACGACTTTTAAGACTGTTCAGCGTTTATGAATGATGTGAACTGTGAGATGTTTTGCTATGGATTAGGCTGCTTCCATCAGCTTTGCATATAATCTCTGTCACTCGTCTCTCACTCCTTCTAGTACACAGCTTCTATCAATCCTTTCTTGACTTCCTCTTTCGGGGAGATCTTCTGTATTCAAAAGAAATTTTCAGATATATGAACCTTTATTATACATGTAATAGAAAAATCTTAGCTCCTCTTTTTTAAAGATTATTTTAAAAAATCTAATTTTGAAATGAATGATATGAAGGTATTGCACGGTATTTCTGCAGAGGTGTGAAAAAAGAAACAAGAAACATTTTCGATGTTTGATATTTCATTCCTAAGTACTCAACATCACTTCTTTTGAATTTGTTAAGTGATTAAGGAACCTATGATATCAAGAGTTACGTACCTTGGTGATCCACTCTCCCCTTTTTCCTCCTCTGCCGTATCATTGTCCTCATCTACTTCATCTTCTCCCTCATCCTACAGGTAATTTACATATCATTTATATCAATATTTCTAGAGTTTGTTCAATATAAAGTGATCTGTCAATCAATAATGTATTTAATTCATCTTCCTTTGAATGCTTAATTTTAACTTTTAGTTATACAACTTGTTTACAAGTACTTTTTGATTCTACTCTACCAAATATGATGAACTGTCAATATACAGTTAGGCTGTCCCCATATTGATCATAAATACGAGGGTTGTCCCGTAAAATCATGGACAAAGAGTTTTTCTCGAAAAGTAATGGACGCACAAAGCTGAAAATTTCAGTAAATGTTTATTTATCATATTTAAGTGCATGATAATTTTTTTGATAAAATATAGGCAAAAAATAAAGATTTTATTATGCTTGAATGTGCACGGGGTATTGTCCTACGGCGCACGGTAAAAAAACCAAGGTTTTATTAAAGAATACACAAGTTTGAATTCAAACTAAAAGTTCTAAATACATAAGATTTGGATGAAAATTATCCTAATTCAATTCCACAATCAATTTTGTAGTCTTTGTAAAAATTTTAAGGCATTTGGTTATTTTTTGGCAGTTTCTCGAGCATTCGAAATGGGAAAGTGGTGAACACAGCACACGAAAAATGGCGACGTTTCATGACGTTACGGCGCACCGGAGAGCAGTTCAGTTTTAATTCGATGTTGTAATGACACTTTAGAGACTTGAAATGACCATAGAAGAAAAAAGATTATAAAAATATCACCACATCTTAAGCATACAAATGAAATAGGAGTTTTCTTAGCGAAGTCTTTTTTGATCGAGTCCCTGGGAGAACAAAACATACGGACAATCTCCTAATGTAATAGCAAAAGACGCTGTCACAGTAGACCGCCGATATGAGATTTTCTATTAGTTGAATGATGGTGAGAATTTTGTCCGCAACTCACTAATAAATCTTCAAAAGATCGCATGAGGGTTCCAGTTGGTTCTTCGACTGTTTATGGAGACTAAAGAATGTGTATCAATGAAATTCCTAAATTTAAGTCGGACTCATCCAACTTCATTTTCAGCAAAGATAAAACGTGACGCTGTTTTGGACACTTTGACGTTATAATCCATGCGCCGTAAGGTGATACAATACATGGCATAAAATCTCATAATTTGTTTATTTATGCATATATTTATCTGAAATTTGCTGTGTATATTACTAAGATATGTACTAAATAATAGTGAAAATTTCAGAACGCAGTGATGTTTATTTTTCACACTAGACAACTTGTCCACCATTTTACGGGACAACCCTTGTACTTCTATGATGTACCTCTGCTGTCTCTAGACTAGACTTGGATTTCTTTGTGCTGGGTTTATTATCTCCCCCTGGTCCCGCTTTTTCCTCCTCTGCTGACCCTGCGTCTTCTTTCTGCTCATCGTCTGGTGAGACTGCGTCTGTTTTTTTGGCGTCTGCCAGAGTCTCTGGCTGAAATAGTGATCAATACCTTGTGTTCATAATTCACTCAGTTGTTAACATTAACTACATGTACATAAAGAGCTTCTTAGATCAAACTTTGTCTATTATCTTTTGTCATCATTGTTGTTAACATAAGGATTTCACATTTAAATCTTTGGCATAGGTGAGCTAATTTACAATATGATTATTAAAATTTTTAAATTGCATGCTCTGTTTGACTAAGGATTTCACATTTAAATCTTTGGCATAGGTGAGCTAATTTACAATATGATTATTAAAATTTTTAAATTGCATGCTCTGTTTGACTATATTTTTTTGTTCATGTAGGTATATGCATAAATTTGACAATCATCTTAAATGCTGCATAATGCTTATCCAATGTATACTATGGTTCCACTGGTAAAACCATTCTGATTTACCAGCTTCTTAAGTTTTTCTTTACATAATTGATATAAAACTTGCGATTGAATTCAAAACAGTTGACTAAAACTTTATTCTGGTTTGTGAAGTTTTGATTGGGTAATGCACTGATGTTTGAAGCAGTAAAATTAGCATTAAAGATAGTGAAATATTATCATTGTGATGTCATAATAGAGCTACGCAAAAACACAATGCTTTGTGACATATTTCATACAACAAAATCCAACAAAATAAGACATAAACAACAAACAAATGCAATGACTGCATTAGAATGAGAATAACTATCTTAAAATTTGGTATTTGTGACCGTTAATGTTGATTTAACGGTCGCAAACATACCGATACGTAAAACCCAGTTTGCGACCATTAAATCAGCATTAACAGTCGCAAATACCAAATTAGAAGATAGTTATTCCCTTATTCATTTAATCACATAAAAATTGTAAAAAGACTATATATTTTTATATTTAGTAACTTTTTTCTTCAAATTATTAATATTCCTTGATTAAAGTGGTAAGTAAAAATAAAAATATTAAAAAAGATAAAATATTATTACAAGTGCATGCATTTGTATTTATAAGAAAATTAAAATTAATACCGGTAAGTGAGAGGCAAAACAAAATAAAACTAAGCACCTTTATGGGACCACTCCGGGGACATAAACAGATAGAAATTAACAGTATAGGGAGCAGAAGCACCACAACATATACAGCCCAGAGCCAGGGTTTGTCGTCAGCCGCCCCCTTCAGTGCCGAGAGATATCCAAAAGCCTTCAGGAGGAAAAAATAAATACATGCTACTAAAAATAACAAACACAACACCAAACAGAAAGTACTAAGCCCCCTCGACAGGTAGTGGATTGGAATGTTTTGCTGTTTTTATGTACTTTCTGTCCAATCCAAACCAGGCAATGAGGAGGCTTTTTACTTATCCCCAGAGTGGTTCTCCTTATAACTGACCATTCCATTGGCTAAAGTCATTTTATTTGGCAAGGGAATAGCCAGTTACACTAATCTGGAAGCATGACTTCTGATGACCATAAGCTTTGTTTTTATCATCTCTCTGTTTTCTTTCTTTCTTTTTTTTTTTTTGGCCATTTAAACATGGCTCACAGTCTTAACATTTTGAAATGAGAGGATGGTAAAAGTGCTATGGCTAGGACAGAAGTCATGCTGGTGAACAAGCAAGCTGCTGTAGACATAACAATGAACCTGGGCCTTACCTCGGACTTTGACATACAGCAGTATGCAATAATAAGAACAATGGGAAGGACCACCACAACTAAGATGAGAGCCCACAACCAGGGTCTCTCTCTCGTGGCGTCCGTAATGGCATCCACTACACTGCGCTGTAATCACAATCATCCATATACATAAAAATAATCATTTTTTTGTTTAGAAAATTCTGTAAAATTATTCTGAAAATTGTTCTAATTAACAATGACTTTCTTTCAATCTACATCACAATGATTCACAATCATATCTTATCATTTTTTTTCTATGAGACGAATTATAAAATTACACCATTACATATCCCCTATGAAAGTAAAACCTTTTCAGTATGTCTTGATTGATAGGAAATTTACCTATGCTGACAATCTATCCTCTCAGATGATGCTTGTCAGAAACTGACACCGAGTCTTGACTGACACAGCCATTTTCCTTTCAGATGAGACACTGCCACAAAAAGTCACTTAATCTTCAGTCATATTGTTACTTACCTTTTAGGTGAGGCATTGTCAGTAACTATTAGTACACCTTTACTCACAAGATTACTTATGTTACAAGTATTATCAGTAACTGTCACTATATCTTTACTGGGAGACATTTTGCCCTTTCAAGTGAAACACTTTTATGAACTGTAATATCACATACATCCCAGTAAGGTAACTTACCCTTGCAGATGTCAGTGTAATGTCTTTACTGAAAAGGTAGCCTACCCATCAGTTTCAATATTAGTTTGCCCTTTCAGTCTCAACTTTACCGACAAGTTAACTTACTCTTTCAGCCACTAGATCTTTACTGACAAGGTAACTTACCCCTCCAGATGATGCTTTCTCTGCGGCTGACTTGACATTAAATGTCTGTTCAGTCCACCTTTCTGCTACCACTTTATCATCAGTGATTAAAAAGTTGTCAAACACTATCTCGTCATTCATGGACCACAGCTCCAATCCCAGCGCATTCTGTCAGAAACCATATCACATACATCATACACAGAGAAGTTTGTATTGAACAATAATGATGTTTGAAATCTTGGTTTATCATTAGCCTTAAGTTTATGACTTTTATATGACTTTATTAGATATAATATACTTACGATTGGATTCATTTGATAAGGTAAAAGATCTTCAAAGAAGTTTGGATTTGGAATTCTTCTGGCTTTCCATACACCCTAGAAATAAAGATTCCATTTTTAGTATATGTATATGTTATCATAACAATATGATCCTACATGTATGTGCAATGTATTGCTTAATACAATTTAATTTCACATATTTTACAACATCAAATAAACTATGTTTAATTGTCACAATACATATGGGTATGTCCCAAAGACATGAGACCATCAAGCAAAATATGGAGAACAAATTTTGAGTTCAGGGTGCTTCCATTTGAGTCAGGGGATTGGAAACATGGATCCACCACCGTAACTAACACACAGTTCCTGTGATTAGAATGATGTTGTTTGTCCTGTCTCTTACCTGGTAATTTGGATTGTCTACCATTGGTGGTCTCCATTTTCCCTTGTATTTTGGATTTTTAATCATAGGTTGTTCCCACTTTCCACAACCAGGGGCATCTTTACATAATGGATTCTCTACAAACAGAGCCTCAATATATTTACATAGAATTCCGTACATAGAATTTTGTACATGTAGTTACTGTTATATTTAAATGATATGAGATCACAAAGTTATGATACATGGTTATAATACAATAGACTTACCAATAAGAGGAGCCTCCCACTCACCATCCATCTCATCATCCCTACAACAAACAAATAAATCAATCAACATCACCCCAACAAGAATCAATCAATCAATCATCGTCATCCCTTCAGATGAAATTTAATGCAAAATTAGTATCATCAAGAAATAATCCTTCTTAGATAAAACTTTCTGATTTGTTTTTAACATTGAAGAAATGTATTTGTTTAATATTTATTAGCATGAAACTTGACATTCTGTATTGAAATGAAGTAGTGCATGGCCTGTGTGGTTGATAGTTGACACACACACAGTATTTGTTTGGTGTCTGACTGTTGGTTCAAATTTGTCTTGCTAAAGAAAACTTTATTTCTCACAAATGGTCAAAACTTGCAAACAATATACTTGCAATAATCAAAGTGAGAAACAATACCTGCTTGAGCTTAATATCCCATTGACAATATAAGAAAAGTTGTCATGGCAATCAATGCATACATTCCTTACCAGTCTTTCGGTTTCTCCGCATCTGGGTCAGGAACAAGCTTGTTCTCATTCTCCAACCACCCGTCGGGCTTGGTAGCCTCAGTGTCTACAATTTTCTCTGGTTCATTTTCATCCCTGATTAAAGCAGAAAAACAAACATGTTTCTATGAAAGAACATGAAAGAAGATTTTCTAATATGAAGGAAGATGGAGTTCTGCTATAAGACAGTTCATGTTTATAAGTACTGTAAAATTGTTCATGTAGGAGGATGTACATTAACTAGATAGTCTGTTTACACAGTAAAAGTGAACTTGTTTAATACAAACACAGATAATGATTTTATAGTAATAGGGAACTTTTACAGGGGACCTTGGCAAAATCTTAACAGTACCTTGTAAAATTTTTAATTTTTAGGGGGGGGGGTCTTACCAGTCCTCTGGTTTCTCTGCATCAGGATCTGCAATTCTAGAATAAAAACAAAAGCATAAAAATTTAGAATAGTTTAAATACATAAACATCATGTCTTGTCCATTTTGAGAATAAAGCAATATCAAAAGATTAGGAATGACTACAACACATTCATTATGTAATGTTTATAGGTCATGTAATTGTACAGGTTGTCAGGTATCATACTTTTCTCTTTCATCCCAGTCTGCTGGCTTCTTGTCATTGGGATCATCAATTTCTTTTGGCGGATTCACCGGTGGGCTGTAAGAAATTAAGTCATTTTAAATTCTCTTGTTTACAAAATGAATGACATAAAAATTAAGTATTATATGTTTCCTTTATAAAGTTGTGATTTACTTATCTTACTTACATCCATTACTATTTACAGACCTACATCTCAGAGTGACACAACAAATGAAATGCTAACTAGTCATGTAACACATGTAGTAAGTCAACAGGATAACACTTCTTCAAACAGACATACCTGAAGTCTTCTAACAAGGACCCCTCATTAACAACAGTCCCATCTACCGATACTTCATAAGTGTTGTCTGGGTTTACCACTGTAAAAACGTAATAAAGGAATATATGGTCACTTGTCTAGTGATTCAAGAAATCTTATTTACTGAGGTAACAAACATTTATCACAAGGTAAGGTACACACTTATGGAAATGTCTTTCTCAATACTTCATGCAATGCAAGGAATTTTTTTTATCAATTACACTTATGCAAAGAGAAACTTTAGATGAGAAAACTTCTGATGATGAGAAAACTTCTGATATATATTAATAAACTTACCGAGAGAATACAGATGAGTTTTCTTATCATTAAAGTAACTATCTAGAGATGCGGTGGGTTTCTTGGCATGTTTCTCCTAAAACAGGAACTCAGCACATTAACACATTGATAATCAACCATATAACAATTGAGAGAAGTTATTACCTAAGTTGTATCATTTTTTAAATGAGAAAGGACAACTTACCTCTATTTCACCTGTCTTTGGATTCTTGTGTCTGAAGATGAAGTGAAGCTGAAAGAATACAATAAACATCTGAATTATCCCTTACAAAGAATAGCTATCACTCGGGAAGATCACTGGGCTTCTTCATTGGTAGAAGTCAAAAATTACTTACTAAAGATGATGAAATATTTAATGAAACAGGAAGCCCAAGTTGTGCTATGAAACAAGAATTTATAAATGCCTCATTTAAACATTTCTTTTCTATCATAGACTAATCATCCGTCCCCTAAATATATGCATTACATGTTGGATACAGCGACTTAATCAGATCTGGAGATAGGGCGTTCCCTACCTTGTTATCCAGTCCACACTTATCGGGACCAAACATTATTGTGTACGGGGTCTTGTCATGAAATTTTTGCTACAAATGCAAAAAAAATATAATAATTGTACGCATAAATGTATACAATTATAGTACAAAAAATAAACATCATATAGCTGTTTCAGAGAATTAGTTTCCCTTATTTAAGGAAAACAGAAAAAAGAGAGGACAATTAAATGCAGATCATCATAATCTAAACTAGCTGCAATAATGTAGCCCCCTTCTTTTTTGAATATATATAAAATAATCTTAGCTTACAAGGTCTAACAGAGGATCGTCTGACAGGAGTTTGATGTATCCACCTCCACAGTCTATGCCATTCTGGTATCTCACTTCATACCTTCAATAATCAGTCAGTTAGTAACATCACTTTGAATCTCAAGTCATTCAGTAACACCCATGGTATAATAGTTTGATAGGAATTTGATTTTTCTAGGTGGAAATTATGTAATTTTTAAGTGAGTTTTAACGTTTATTATTCACTTACTGCACAATCAGGGGTTTTCCATCAAACTTGAAAGGTTTATTAAGATTGGAGGATACTGCATGATGTTTTGCCTTGGACTGTAAAAAGAACAATAATTTAACAGGTTACATTATTCCATTTAAAAAATGACAAGAGAAAAATTTGAACTGCCACATTTCTCAGTTTGTGAGTTTTGTACCTATCATATGTAATTGTATAGATATATTATCATTATATTCACATCATGAAGTTTACTGTCAATTTTTTCCTATCTTTACATTGTCAAATCTGTTTTTCATTTTGTTTTATTTAGGATGCAAATTCTGGCAATAGTGAGAATACAGAAATGCAGGGTTTGACATAATGCAAGTCCATCCCATCTAGTTGAGTGGTCTAGTCCAGTAAAAGGTAAATGTCCTCACATGACCCAATTTCTATCCTTAGCTTAAGCTAAAGCTAACCATATATTATTTACAAGTCCCAATTTAGTTGAAGTAACCCCAATTGATTGGTTGTGACTCATCTAACAGCCTAGCGATTTTGACTAGAGCAGAAAACATTTTTGTTCAAAAATGGTAATAAGTTTGATCAGGAGTAGTGTTTTTATGGTCTAGGCTAGCAAATATATGGTAATTATACATACATGCCAACTTTTGAAAATTCCCATGGGGGATTTTGCGCGTGACGACAATTTTCAAAGCTTTAAATTCGCGACATTTTGTCGTGAAAATAAATGATTATAAAATACTTTTTTTTATTATAATATTGATAGCACTTAATTATTAATACAGCACAAATAAAACAATACAAATTAAAGTTTTATTTTTCCAAATTTAAATATCTTTGCTTAATAGTTGTCACTCTGTTCTATTAATTTACATTTTGTTTCTGGTATGTACCCTTAAAATCAAGTGTCACTTTATTTCCTACAAGTAAGTATATAGACAGGGCATGATTAATTTTATCTCACACAAAAAAAAATTTGGAGAAATATATAGGCCTAATTAAATCATGAATTTTTTAACACAAGCCCCACCCCCACAAATCCCAAAGAAAAATTAAAATTGTAAAAGACTACACCATGAACATAATGAACTTTTGCAGTCTTGGCAATGCCATATGGGTCTCTGGTATTTCCTTGACATATATGTAACAAAGAAATACAATGTACAATATGAGTTTGATCTATGGGAGAATGGGGGGGGGGAGAAAATCAGTGTAATTAACATGAGAGTATTATTTAATCTTAATTATTTTCAATATTTTTTTAAATTGACAAACTATACAATATTTTTATTATTAGCAGTTAAAATCATCAGCTATATAAGCTTTGAAATTTTCTACTTTCGTTTTTAAAAAAAACGATCTTTTGGGATTCCAATTTTATTGTTTGATTATCATTTTATTGAGTTTAATACAATGACTAATAATTAAGCCCTAATCCATGTGTTTCACTTCACATACCCCTTCAAACTGAAATGATTAATCCCCTAACTGCTCAAGGCTATAAGCTACCTGTACCTGGACAGCAGCGTGTGCGTTGAAGCGAGAAGTGATTTCCTGTGGCTAATTAACTCTGCATGCTAAATAAACAATGAGACTTATCTGTGTGCTTTGAATAATAAACTCTGATATTCTTATCCCGAGTGACAAAATTTGGCGGTAGGGAAACTGAAAATCTGAATTTTTTTCAAATCGGGAAATTGGGGCAATTTTTCTCTCCCGATCGGGAAGGCGGGATGAAAGGGTAAAATCGGGAGAATCCCGCCTAGATCGGGAAAGTTGGCATGTATGATTATATTATGATTATAGTGTCTAGTGCCTAAAAAAGTTCATGTCAAAGCCCTACATGTCCTACTGACCAGCAATAATTGATCTCTATTGTTATATATATATTGATAACCAATAATAACACAGATATATTTCTACAATTGCTATCCTCCCAATTTTTTAAAGCCATAAAAGGTGGAACTGAAGAAAAAACAACTAAGTAAACAAACATTAGACTGCCTACCTTCATGACTAATCCTAGGTCCCCCTCTATAGCACTGTCCTTTGGTTCCTCTACCTGCCATTTACCTGTCAATCAAAAGTCATTAACTTTACCTTGTATCACTTTATAATTCACTTTACCTTGTATTAGTTGATTTTTACCTTGTATCTGTTTATAAATCAAAGTTACTTTTTCTTTTAAATTATGGCATTATTATGTGATAATTTGTATCTATAAGAAGCATTTAACCAATACCATCATATTTTGATATGGATTCTTCTGCTCCATCTTTTTTGGCTTGTGAAACAGTCCACCTGTAGAAATATAATGCATTGAAAAAATGACAGAGACCAAGGTAGGTATGTTGACAATGATGATTTTAAAGCTGACTTACTTGTTAATAGTATTTTAAAGTGATTACCTTTTAAAATTCTCTTTTTTGTCAAAGGAATCTGCAAAGTGAACACTCTTATCTATCTTTGGAGGAACAAACTTCGGCTGTGAATGAAAATCAATGATTAAAAATCCATTTTAAATAGTTTACAAAAAAATAAATTGTTCATTGTACTCAGAGAAGACAAAAAAATAAATAAACATGCATAGTCATGAAACCTTTTTTAAAACTACATCCAAAATCTCTCTTTTGACATTTGCACACTATACGAGCAACTTCTCTTAGTATTTTAATTGTCTGAAAGTGTTGGATATCTTTATTAAAATTATACTATCTCTCCTAATTGTTATTAGAAATGTAATAAGGTAAGTAATGAAAACGTAGGAATTATGAGATACAGCATTTATTGATATATTGAATGAAGGCTTTCAAACCCATAATCAATAGAGGTAAATCGAGAGAGGGTGGGTCTGTATACCTTTGGAACAGTTAACCTCTCTGGGGTTTAGATTTCAGATGGGTACACCCAGGGTATAATTAACCTCTTTATATTTAAAGTATAATTAACCTTTTCTGGTTTGACATCATCGTCTTCCACTTCCACCTGAACATCATCATCCTCTTCTTCTGTGTCAGCAAACACCGCCCCCATCAGACACACCCCCAACACCAACATACACACCGTATACAACTTCATCTGCAATAGAGTAAATTCCAGTGCAATTCTGTTGAAAGTTTTAATCAACTTTTTATACTCCTTTTTAGTATTTTAACAATTTATTTTAAAAGTTGCCATTTTCAATGGAATTCATATTTAGTACAAAACATTCAACTCATAAATTTTTCCTCACAAAACAAGAACAATCACTATATAAACAAAACACCGTACAATCCTCATTAACCACCACGGGTGCTTAGAAAAATGCAAAAATTCAGAAATTTTTGGTATTCTCTTTATTATATTTTACGACATATTTTAACTTAAACAATCTTGTGAAAAAAAATTCAGAGAACCACTTATCTCAGAAACCCACTGGTGATATCATCCTAGGGCAAACTCGCGGAAAAATCTTCGTATGTAATCAAATATACGTTGGTCATTTGATTGGCTTCTGCAGAGAGTCGCGATGGCAAACAACAAATTTCAAATCACGATACGTTCTGTAAAATCACATATTTTCGTGGGATCAAATTTTCATGGTTTGAGGAAAATCTCTTGGTTCGTGGGGATTTTATTTCATGCGTCAAGAATTGATTACTTATGTATGTCACATTTTACATTTCATGGAGGACATGAAATTGTGGGTCTCATCATACCTCGAAAACAACGAAAATTAACCCCCCCCCCACGACAATTTGTGATTTCACAGTATGTATGTCAGGGATCTAGAATTACGTTTTCCCGTTGCCCGGGGTGAGTAAAAATTCCTGCGGGAAAGTATGATCGCGGATCATGCTCACCTGCTCGGGAAAATAAAAATAAATGACAGTAGACACTTATGTTGTTGAAAGTTGTTCTTTTCACAAGTTTTGATTGAAAATTGATTTGAATTTACTTAGCTAGTAAGTTGTGTGAAGCGGTATGAAGCATTCCCCGTCAAATTAAACAAAGTATTTCTTTTGCTACATTACAAATACACGGAATGAATCCTATTGTTAAACCTCGTCTGTAGGACAATATTATTTTAACGATAGAACGTTCTATCTAGGGCAGGGGCAGTTGATAGGGATTACATGGTAAATTTCCAATGAAACTACATTCTGGAAGACCACAAATGTTAGATCAAAAAGTAAAATAGAGGGTCACAATGGCATTATGCAATAATTTCACTCAGTGGTATAGGAAGAGCTTAAGAGTTGCGAATAAAAGATGGGTACCCTTCAATATTATAGAAAGAATGGCAATGTCCAAACTTTGCTTTGGGAAACCCAAAGTAAGTGTTGGATCAGAAAGTAAAATAGGATTTACTACATTACAAGTATATTGGATGTATGTTAACTGTGGTGAGGGCTTGTCACGTCCCTAAAAGCAGTGATGAACAGGAAGGTAATGCATGTTTTCAACTAAACTTCTCTACTAGATTCCATAATTTGCTTCCAAACTGCATTACTCATAAAGTCTCCGCAGATAAATTTAGAGAATAAACTTATCTTTCATGATGAGCGGTATTACTTATTACTTTTGGAAAATGCAGATTAACTGCATAATTTCGAGAAAGTTCGGACTAAACTTTCGATATCGGCGTGCGGTCCAAAATTTTTAAGCTGCTTTCTCTGCAAATTGAACATGTGAAGGGCCTTTGCATCGTGGTTTGCATGCTAAAAACTACTTAAATAGCAAGATTACCTTCATTATATCCAAATTTCAGAAAATAACAAGCATGACACCGACACCTTGCGTCTGTAAAAACCTATGCCCTAAACGTGGAGCATTTTCATTGGTCGAGGTGAATTTTAAATGTTAGCCTAATGGTGATTGGATATCACAAATTAGATAGATCGTACTTGTAATTATTTGACGAATTTTTCCAAAAATGTATTTTTATTTCAGAAAAAGGATCGATAATGAGTAACAAATTTGAATTAACAAAATGTACTTATTACTATGATTAATAATGATAAAAAAATAGTTATTTAAAATTTTGTACTTGGTATAACAAATATTAAATTCGTGATAACAAATTATTTATGTAAAATAATCATAACAAATTTGTATAATTTATAAAAACAATATTCAACAAAAAAGATGTAATCCCCCCCCCCCCCAAAAAAATTACTTTAGTTACTTATAGCATAGATCTATATAGGGGTTTGCAAGAATGTGCACCTGAACTGAAGTTTTTGCATGGCATACATGTACTGAGCGGAGAGAGCTTATTCAATGTCCTTATCCGCGCAAAGACCGAGGGAGGGCATATAAATTTCCTGACATTTAATTTTAAAATAACTTTTTTAGTTAATATTTTCAATGGCATCAAAACCGGAGGGAGGTTTCATATATTAAAATTAATAATTATCTGACTGCTTGCTATTTTGAAAACATAAATATGCAAAAGCGTAGATAAACAAATTTGAGACATTCATTTATGAAAAATATTTCTTATAAAGGAATTTAAACCACAAAGTACATGTACATTATAAAAAAGAGAAAAGAAAATTAATTTATAAATTCCTATTTTCCTTTTGGTATTTGTATGTTGTTAAAATATATTTCATTACCAGTTACAAAATGAAGTGTTACCCGTGTCTTTCGAAAGAAGTTGAGAAAAGTCACATGGGGTCTATATGTTATGTTCCCCTCTTCATGTATAATGAGAAGAAATGCCAGTAAAAGTATTTATTCTTATTTTAATGCGGAAAAGTTGGTGAGATTCCTTTTGATAATTATCGAAGACGTTCAATATTTTATTTCAGCCCGTGAGGAAAATGCATGCTGCACCTGATAATTTTCATCACACACTGTATTGTATTGGGGGGATGTTTAAAAGATTTAGGATTTTCTTTTGTTTTATCTTTTACCTGCATTTTTCATTTAATTTACAGTAAGATAATCTATTTCTAAATAATCAAAATCGTTTTTAAAGAACATTTTTGTATCCCCATGCATCTTCACCAGCCAAGTGTTTTCGGTCCACCCCGCTCCCCATAAACCCTAGCGGAGTGAACAAAAAACTCTTGGCTAGCGAAGTTGACTCCATGCAATCAATTTTATTTGTACTAGTATTAAAGACCTCAAATTCATTTAAATACGTAAATATTCATATAAATATATGTAATTACAACAAATAAAACATTTATATGGATATAAAAGTACTCTGTCATTATTTTTCTCCACAAACATATTAAGATCTATTTAAAAAACTTTGTTTAAAGAAAAGATTAAAAGGATTCCAACAAGAGTAAGAATGATGAAATGTTAACCAAATATGGTTTTATTTTAACATTAAACAATAACAAGTGTGGCGGTACAAGGTTTAATCAGGGTTTTCGGCCTGATTGAAAAATCTTATAGCTTTCGCTATTTATTTATTTTGTAATATGTAACATACAAACAAAATGAGGAAATAAAATAAAAAATAAAAATAAAATTCATAAAGGTTTTACAAGAAAAAGGCGTTGGCATTTTTGGAGACACGAAATTTGTCTCATTTAACATTTCTTTGAGCATATTATTCACCGCCGTCTACTCCCAGCCCTTTACTATTTAACACTGATCCATTTTTCAACAACCCGTCAATTTATATACGATCCTAAAATAGAAATTTCATTTTCAAAGGAAGTTCATTCAAGCGGTCCTGCTACCCGATGAAAGTGATTATCCTAAATTTAATGTCTTAACATAAACCGCATTACCCCCATTCTTTGGAGTGTAGTTTAAATGTTAATCTTAGTACTGTACATTTTCTACTACTAGAGTATGTGGATTCTGTTGTTGTTGTATCCCCCATATGTTTTGTTTGTTCTTAAAAACAAATTTTTATTTGACATTTATCATATAAAAACCTCTGGAATGTTGGTTTGATTACTTAAATTTAAGTACCAATAACTTTAAAAATGAAGATTGCCTGGTCGATACTCGACTATTTAACATAAGTAAGTTCCTAGTATATATTGGAAGACCTCTCTGACTGTCCTAAGGTGATGTTAAAAAATAAAATCTTTCCAATTCACCACTATCGATCAATCAACCATATATTTTTCGTGACTTTGAAATACTATGGACCATGGTCTGAAAGCAGATTTTTAAAAAAGTTGAGCATTTGATTGCCTTGTCCAAGAATTGTGTATTCTATGTTCTGAGAGTTTGGAAAATGTTGTTCACAGCAAACACTGTATGTATGGTTAAGCCCAGATTTGTTTAAGTTGCAATCGTGTTGGATCTGTCTCGCGAACTCCTTCGGTTTCTTTCGACCGAAATTTCAGTTTACCATCCAAGTTGTGAAATACCCTCTTTTATATGCTCTTTAACATGCATTTTGAAAAAAAAAAAGTTTTGCAACCAGATTAAATACATGCATTTAAAGTCTTACACTGAATTAAATTCTATTAAAAAAAAGAAGGGATGGGTGAACTCGGGGTACTTTTTGCTTTTATGACTTATCATTTACTATCTTATACACTTTTGTGTACATAATGAAGTCAGTGGGTCAAACAATAACCCACATACTACTCTCTTTGTATCTTTTTAAATCTTCCAAAGTAGTTTCATTAAAAAAAATCACAGCACCTTAAAAAATCATTTTAAAAAATTCAATGACAATTTATTTTTCAAAAGAGTTGTAAGGTGTTGCTGCTATAAGATCTGAGTTAACGGTAGACACACCTGAATTTTTTCCATTCATGGGAAAGGTGAGTTACGTAGTAAATGGCAATAGATTCCGTCAGATTTAAAGGTCATAAACACATAGTAATTTAAAAAGTAGAACGGCAGTACCTCCTCACGGATCATTCAATACCGTGTAATCGTTCAGGGAGGAATCTCAGTGACGAAACATCAATAAAATCATCGGAGCATCCCTATCACGCATGACCAGTTCGACCCTCCCAGTCACATCGCCTTCTTACCAGACTTTTGGAAGCATGTGTGGCTTGTGAATTTCGTAGGGAACTAATTTTGGGATTTATAATTTGGTGCTCTTACTACATATTATTATTTTCATCAAGTTACTTCACTGAACAAGGTAAGAAAAAAATACTATATTATATAATTTAAACTTTTTAAAATTGTATTTACAATATTTATGTTGAAAATTAGTTATTGAATAAAGAAACAAAAATAACTTAAGTTAGAAATGGAGCTATTGAGTAGTAATCAAGATAGCTTATTTTATTCCTTTAAAGCATGGGCTTTGTTTGAATAATATGTTCAATCTGCTTAACATGTGTACAAGTTCTATGCAAACACCCCTTTACATTTACAGACATTTAATTTTAAAATCATATCGTATTTGACAATGTTGATAAATAATGATTTCAAAATATTTTTGGTCAAATTACTAGTATATAAATCATTTTAGTTTTTGGCAAAAAAAACCCACTTTATACAATATCAGACTGTTTATCCAGAATTCATTTTAAAATTAAATTAAATTCGCATTTGGACACGCCCTCAACTACGTGATCGGGGTAGAAAAGGTCACTGCCCGAAAATTAATGGTCCCAGTCCAGTAACCAGCGGTAGCATTAGCCGTATTGTTAGAGACTGAATGTTTCTCCAGAAGTTTTATTGTGTCTATAATGGAATTCGAACACAAAAAGGCGAACCTTGACGTCCATTCATTGAAAATTATCCCCAGAATGTACTATTTGACCCGAAATTCTTTAGCGCGTGGACATTTTTTCTGCTAGAAAAAAATACATTTTTTACCAAATGTTTTACACAGCAAAAGCACTCATTTACTATAAACAAATTATAGCATATAGAAAGATGTCAATAATGTACTATAATAAAACAATCCACAAGATTATGTGTACAGAGAATCATACCTTTAATTAAATAATGCATCCAAGCATTGGATATCCTGGATTTAATAGCGAAAAAAAAAATTTGATAAAGATTATTTTATTTTTCCCTAATCAGATTTTTCACAGTGTTCACCATACTGGTATACACTGATCGATAGGTGATCAGTAAATTTTAGATACGTTCTATTTAACCCGATCACATCTTTGAGTTGTCGATAAATGAATACCCATATACCAGTATAAATCAATATAATTTTATAAACTGAATTTTACAAAGGGATCTCATATTAACAAAAAGTAACAAGCTAATTCAGAGAATCTGTATCCCCGCTTAAGAAAAAAAACATGCACAGATTAAGAGGGGGAAGGGTACACTTTAAGAAGGGCGGGAGCGACCATAGGGAGTTATGGTTTAAAATTTCATTGTAAAAGCTCATTGCAGGCACGTAGCATCGTTTTTGAAAGTGGTGGAAAAGTTAAAATTTCATGGTAAAAAGTAAAAGAACAATTACTATAGTAAAGGTAATGTTGGGGAAAAAGGTGAGCCCCCCCCCCCCCCTGGCCCCCCCTGTTGCTACGTCCCTGCAGATATCGCGCGGAAACGAACATATTACAGACACAAAAACACTAACGGTCATGATTAGGGTGCGAACGCAAAAATCTGGCTGAAAAAGAAAAATTAATTTGCAATTTAAAATGAGTATGAACACGAACAAGAATAAGGTAGATGCAACATGTACAAGTTCATGAAAATTTGTTCGTTCCCTTTTTTAGAAAATATTCATTTTCTTATTAATTTCCTGCATTTTTTTTTATATATTTCAGATGATTTCGCTTACAAGGCGAGTTCTTGTCTTTTCTCTCTTGTTCATATTGGCTTCCAAAACGTCGGCATCCACCACCACAGAAGAAGCTACAACCACTGATGCCACAACAGAAGAAGCTTCCTCTACAACGTCATCACAGGAAACCACAACACAAGGAGCTTCCACTGACAGCACCCAGACAGCAACAACGGAAGAAAATACGGAAAGTACGGAAACTGCCACAACACAAAGCGTTCCTACGGAAACAACAACAGAGGGAGCTTCTACAGACTCTACCCAGGCAGTTTCCACACAAGAAGCCACAACTGACAGTACCCAGGCAGCCACCACACAAGAAGCAGCAACCGCAAGTACTCAGGCAGCCACTACACAAGAAGCCACAACTGAGAGTACCCAGGCAGCCACCACACAAGAAGCCACAACTGACAGTACCCAGGCAGCCACCACACAAGAAGCAGCAACAGCAAGTACTCAGGCAGCCACCACACAAGAAGCCACAACTGACAGTACTCAGGCAGCCACCACACAAGAAGCAGCAACAGCAAGTACTCAGGCAGCCACCACACAAGAAGCCACAACTGACAGTACTCAGGCAGCCACCACACAAGAAGCAGCAACAGCAAGTACTCAGGCAGCCACCACACAGGAAGCCACAACTGACAGTAATCAGGCAGCCACCACACAAGAAGCCACAACTGACAGTACTCAGGCAGCCACCACACAGGAAGCAGCAACAGCAAGTACTCAGGCAGCCACCACACAGGAAGCCACAACTGACAGTACTCAGGCAGCCACCACACAGGAAGCCACAACTGACAGTACTCAGGCAGCCACCACACAGGAAGCAGCAACAGCAAGTACTCAGGCAGCCACCACACAAGAAGCCACAACTGACAGTACTCAGGCAGCCACCACACAAGAAGCCACAACTGACAGTACTCAGGCAGCCACCACACAAGAAGCCACAACTGAAAGTACTCAGGCAGCCACCACACAAGAAGCCATAACTGACAGTACTCAGGCAGCCACCACACATGTAGTCACAACTGACAGTACTCAGGCAGCCACCACACACACAGACAGTAAGCAGCCACCACACAGCAAGTACCTGACAGGCAGCCACCACACAAGTAGCCACAACTGACAGTACTCAGGCAGCCACCACACAAGTAGCCACAACTGACAGTACTCAGGCAATCACCACACAAGTAGCTACGGATGTCAGTACTCAGTCAGCAGCAGTCACCACACAAATGGCAACTACAGAAAGTACTCAATCAGCAACAACACAGGTAGCTACAACTGTAAGTTCTCAGGCAGCCACAACTGATAGTACTCAAGCAGTGACAACACAAGGGGGCACAACTGCAAGTACTCAACAAGCCACAACACAACAGGATACTAGTAGTGTCCAAACAGTAACAACTTCTGAGAGTACACAGGCAGTGACAACACAAGAAACCACCACAGCAAGTAATCAAGCTACTAGTGACAGCACACTATCAGCCACCACACAAGGAGCCACGACTGATAGTACACAGTCAGCCACAACACAAGGAGGTACAATATCAAGTACTCAGGCAGCAACAACACAAGAATCTACGACTCTCGGTACCCAAGCAGCCACAACACAAATATCCACTTCTTTAAGTTCACAGGAAACCTCAACACAAGTAGTAACGACTGAAAGTACCCAATCAGTGACAACACAAGTAGCCACAACACAAGGTGACACTAGTGGCAGCACCCAATCAGCTACCACACAAGGAGCCACCACAGAAAGTACCCAGGAAGTCACGACTGGAAATACTCAGACTTTCACCACACAAGTTTCAACAACTGCAAGTTCTCAAGCAGCTACCACACAGGGAGCCACAACTGATAGTAGTCAGGCAGTTTCAACACAATCAGCCACAACTGACAGTAGTCAGGCAGCCACCACACAACCAGCCACAACTGACAGTAGTCAGGCAGCTTCAACACAACCAGCTACAACTGACAGTAGTCAGGCAGGTACAACAACACTAGCCACAACCGATAGTACTCAGGTAGCCACAACACAAGGGGCTTCCAGTAGTAGCACAATTGCAGCCACAACACAAGATGCAACCACCGATAGTACCCAGTCAGCTACAACACTAGAAGCATCAACAGCAAGTACTCAGCAACCTACAACACAAGGAGCAACCAGCAGTACTCAAGCAGCCTCAACACAAGCAGGCACAACTGACAGTACTCAAGCAGCCACCACACAACCTGCCACAACTGACAGTAGTCAGGCAGCCACCACACAACCAGGCACAGCTGTCAGTACTCAGGCAGCTTCAACACAGCCAGCCACAACTGACAGTAGTCAGGCAGCTTCAACACAACCAGCCACAACTGACAGTAGTCAGGCAGCTTCAACACAACCAGCCACAACTGACAGTACTCAAGCAGCCACCACAGAAGAAGCTACAACAGACAGTACTCAAGCAGCCACCACACAAGGAGCCACTGGCAGTACTCAAGCAGCTTCAACACAAGAAGCCACAACTGACAGTACTCAGGCAGCTTCAACACAACCAGCCACAACTAGCAGTACTGAAGCAGCCACAACAGAGGAAGCCACCACAGACAGTACTCAAGCAGCCACCACACAAGGAGCCACCGGCAGTACTCAAGCTGCCACCACACAAGGAGTCACAGCTGTCAGTACTCAGGCAGCCTCAACACAACCTGCCACAACTGACAGTAGTCAGGCAGCTTCAACACAACCAGCCACAACTGACAGTAGTCAGGCAGCTTCAACACAGCCAGCCACAACTGACAGTAGTCAGGCAGCTTCAACACAACCAGCTACAACAACTGTCTCAGCTTCAACAAGTACACAACCCACTACAACCCAGGCACCTGCTGGTGATTTTTTTCATTTTGACTTTGAATTATGTTTTTTTCTGTTATTTTCATCATTTAAAAAGTTTTGCACAAACTTATAAACTATCATATTATGTGGAAACGTTTATGGAATGGTTATTTTCTGTTAATTATATTCTATGTATGAAGAATTGTAGCTTGTTTTGATATCGTTGTAGCTGCTTATGGAATGCAGATTACACTTGAGGTTCAACCAAATGTGGACCTAAGCGACCAAACCAGCCAAGCCTACATCGACTACAAAGCAAAAGTAGAAAAAGCGGTATGGTTGGCATTTCTGATTTTGTTGTCTTTAAATTCTGATTAAAAGGATATAAATAATTTATTTTGGAAAATATTGAAATGAAAAATGCATTGTAATTTACCGATTGATTCTAATTTCTTCTTTATAATCAAAACAAAAAACTAATTTCAGTTGAGTGATTACTTCAGGAGAAAGCTTGGGAATGTTTTTGCCTCTCTCACAGTTCTGTATATGAGGTACAGTTTTTATTATTCAAACACTTATTGTCTTCAAATTTACCATGTATAAACAGAAGTAAGCATATCTGTTCCTCAGACAGGAATAGCAACCTATGAAACTATTGAGTTTCAAAGAGAACTTTTCAAGGTTCAAATAATTTTGAAGTCTTTCAAAATCGTCATGTAAAAAAGTAGATGCATGTATTTGCATACAATAAAAGAAGAATTTTAGGAATTTTTTAAATCGGCCTCATATACCAATGCTTACTTAGCGTTAAATGGACACTGAAAGCGATCTCTAATATTTAATTAATGCTAAGCAAACAGCATACATTATTTGATAAGGATTGACGTTATTAGAACTAAAATAACACATTAGTATAAAACATGCATTCTATTCCAGATGACGATACCCATGGTGGTTTTTTTTTATTTTTTAAATTGGATATTTTTTGTTGAGCAATTTTCAATCGGAAAATTTTTATTTAATACTTTTATCTACAATCAAAATGATATGCTACCATTATTATACTTTTCTAATCATAGGATTAACTATAACATGAACACTAGAATAAAAAAAAATACTAGATACACGTGCACGTTAGTTTCTGACATTTTTGTAAAAACATCTTCAGTATAATTGATGGATAAAATACCATAATGTGTAGTTGAATTCTTTTTTTCATTAGAATTAGTGAAGAGGATATTCGGAATTCAGCGTCAGTAGTGAATAAGTCTATATTAATTTAGTTACCCTGTTGATATTACTAACCACTTCTAGATCAAAGTCATTCAAACCATACTTATAGGTACATGAGGAAATACAACATTAAGTGTATAATCTCAAATCGTCAGAGGTACATATCATATACATATAACAATTACATTTGTGGGTACGATAGAGAGATGGTTATATATTACATGATAATTATGTAATTATACATAATATAATAATAACATCGTAAATGTAATGCATGGAAAAAAGGGTAATGATAGTCTCAAGTATATCAGAGACACAGATATCTCAAGATTTGACATTTAAATTTTTTCAAACTTCAATTAAAAAATTTAACATTGGATGCATGTGCATCATAATATAGAGTGAAATCCCTTTCTGTTTGTCCTTTGATACATATTAGTTTTGTCTAGTGGTTTACTGAACAACATCTACAGGTAGATATTAATCATAACTCATGCTATTTTTTACTATATTTAGAACTGGCAGCTTGATCGTTAATTACACCCTCTCAACCAACTCGGAATCTACAGGGGAGGTAATAGGTGCCGTACAGGATCTTGTTCAGCGTACAGAAACGGTTACCCTGGACAACCAGAATGTGCAAGCTAGCAAAGCCAGCATAGAATCCTCGGGATCAACTAACACAGGTAAGCCTGTCAAAGGCAGCATAGAACCCAAGGGATCAAGTAAAACAGGTAATACAGTAGTCAAAGGCAGCATATAACGCATGGGATCAAGTAAGCCAGGAGTCAAAGGCAGCATAGAACCCTCAGGAGCAAGTAAGCCAGGAGTCAAAGGCAGCATAGAACCCTCAGGATCAAGTAAGCCAGGCCAGGAGTCAATAAAAGCATAAAACCCTTGAAATCAAGAAACACAGGTAAGCCAGGGGTCAAAGGCAGCATAGAACCCTCGGGATCAAGTAATACAGGTAAGCCAGGAGTCAAAAGAAGCTTAAAACCCTCGGGATCCATTAAGCAAGGAGTCAAATGAAGCATAACCCCTTGGGATAAAGAAACACAGGTAAGCAAGGAGTCAAAGGCAGCATAGAACCCTCTGGATCAAATCACACAGGTATAAAGTCAGAAGTCAAAGGAAGCATAAAACCCTCAGGGTGAAGTAACACAGGTAAAGTCAAAAGTCAGAGGCAGCATAGAGGCCTCGGAATCAAGTAACACAGGTAAAGTCAAAAGTCAAAGGCAGCATAGAAGCCTCGGAATCAAGTAACATAGCTAAGCCAGGACTTGGTTATCAGCTTAATTACTTGTAATTGTGATTTTGATTTTTTTTTTTCAAGTTCTATTTTAAGCCAGCTTAATCGTACTGACATACTTTTTAAGTGAATTGAGCTCTATTTAAAATGGAGCATCGTATATATTTTGCAGTTGACCTAGAAAGAGGTTCGGTAACAGATAGTTGTCAGATTTACAATTCCATTAGCACCTGTTCCTCAGACACTATTTGTGTTGTTGAATCATCTGGTGTCCCTGTCTGCAAGTAAGAGAATTTATATAAAATAATAATAAAAGATAGACATTTATTGGAATGTCAAACATTTTTAGAAATAAAATGGGAAAAAATAGCTATGTAACCTTTTTGAGAGATTATAATTGTATCTTTTCTCTTTTTTCAGACCTATAGTTAAAAATGGTAAGCTGAGTTTTAATATGATACTACTTAGTTATATCTTTGATCTCTTAGAATTGAAATCTTACGATCTCTCCATACGATGTCTCATAAATGTCTAATAAATGTTCTTTCTTAGCTTACTTTTCTTCTGCATGAATCTGAACTTTTTATTAAATGCGAAACTCTTTAGTGCCTCAGTGATGCTTCCATTTTTATACGATTTTTTGCAGACAATTTTTCTTTGATCCTTGGTTTGGCTATCGGTATCCCCGTGTTTTTCCTGGTGGCGTTCTTCATTGCTCTAGCCTGTATCTTAACGAGGAAACACCGCCGAAGTCAGCGACTTAAGGAGGAAGACGACTGGTGAGGAGCCTTAAATACAATTTACCATAATTATATAATGTATTTAAATAATTTTTTTTAATATAAGTCGAGTAGTGTACATTTTTATGAAATTGATTATCCCATGACATGCCATTTATCCTTGACTTCACATGGCATGTAATCTATATACATTTTTTTTTAAATTGTACACTCATATTTAGCTAATACATATAAGAAGACTATATCTTATTTTATGGAATACACTGTATAACTTTATTTTATTTCAAAGAAATTATATATGTATACATGATAAATCAGACAAATTCTGCTTATCTCATTGTGAATTTAATATTTTAAAACAAAGCTTTTCTCTCTGTTACAGGGACATGAAGAACTATCCACATCTCTCCTTACCCTATAAGTATGATAACCATGGTTTCTACAAACATCATTACTTTATGCCAGATAATTTAGAAATGGAAGTTTTACCATCAGCCAAACCATTTAAAGGTGAGTAGTCTTAGTCTTGGAATCTGTGTGTCCAGGGTCTGCTAACTATCATTTTATCATAGCTACATATTTATTGTTTTTGATAAACTTAATAAAATGGAAGGCGTCAAACCTTAGTATTCCTAGAAAAAAAATGTTGTTTTGGTGGTTGCATATTCTCTATTCGAGACATTTTGAAAAATCCCACAGAATAGCTTGTTATTTACATAGCAGATATTATCTTTTCATATGCACTTTGTGTGAAAAAAAAGAAGATTTTTTTTTAATTAATTCACTTTCCCCTTTTTATCCGTAAAAGGAATTCAACTTTTTATTCCTGGCGCAATCAAGTGAAGCAAGTCTGATGATGAAACATTAAAATGAGTTCTGTTTGTATGGTTAGCCAAGGAAATACAAATAAAATTCTTTTTTACCCAGGTTCGTTGTTATCTATAATGATTTAAGCAAACGGGCCGTATATACAAATAAAACTAGAATTTAAAGTAACAAGCTTCATGGCAGCGTTAACAAGCAGTGAAATGAGATCCGTGCCCCCCGCCATATGTGACATCTCCTTTTGTTGTTTTGTTTACCCGCTCACGGTTGATTGTGGATCCATAAACTCCGGTCTCCCTAAGGGTGTATCAATACATTACGCTGTCAGGTCGGTCATTCTACACCCATTATAGATTTTCACACTGTGCGAATTTGAGGTAATGACTCTGATGTCGGGTATATATCTATTGAAAACCCTTCAACTCCTCACCGAAATAGAGAACCACCCGAGCATTAACAAGTTTGGGCGTTACCATGATGATATCACAAAAATAAGCTATTTTATAAAGGACAATATTTGTGTTCAGATATGAAAATATGTATACACCCAGCTTTTATGTATTTTTGAGATGATTTATATATTTCTTTATGATTTATTATGAGTTTGTGTGAAAATAAAAAAAATGCATTAATTTTGAAAATATATCATTGATTTAAATCAATGACATTTTATGTATAAATACGGTATATATTAATTATGCAAGTCATACATATTCTTTAATATTTAATTAACGTATATTAACTTTGATTACGTTATAATTTTATGTTTATTCTGATGCAGGAAATGCTCCTTGGAATTCTCCCGGTGGTTTTGAAAATTGGGATGAGGTAAATATACTAGTAAATGAAAGCATCAACCCCATTTTCGTTTATTACTCTTAATATAAGACAATTAAAAATAAAGTTAACGAAATAAATTAATGTTAAATAGTTCGTATTTTCAGGTGTTGTTTATAATTCAATTTTGATTTAATCTTCAAATTTCCATAATATGCCTTGAGAATTTTACGAGATATATTAAAAATGATATTCATTTAAAAAAAATCTTCATTTTCTTTGCAGTATCGCATGCCACGCCCACAAATGTACCGATCTCCACATCCGGCATTCGTAGTAAGTAACACTGCCTCAGTCATGCTTATTTGTCATTTTGATTACTTAACTAGGAAAGGCAAAAGTTCAAAATGTTATCATAGGTATTTATTGTTCTTAATAAACTTAAAACTGAAGGCGTCATACCTTGATATTCCCAGAAAAAAATTATTTATAGCTGTGGTGATTGCATATTTTCTGAAATCCGAATTCTGTTTGAGACATTTTAGACAATCCCATAGACTAGCTTAATATTTACTCAGCGGGTTATGATACCGGAATTTCAAATAGCAATACTTATATCTTCGTTAAAATACCTAATTTCTATTTCTCAAAAATATTAAAAAGGAACGATGACAGAAAATTAAAAAAAAAGTGGCCGCGAGCTTGAAATTAATTTACTCAGCGGCTTACGATACCGAAATTTCAAATTGCACTCTTATATCTTTAAAATGCCTAATTTCTATTTCTTAAAAAAATATTAAAAAGGAACGTCGACCCAAAATAAAATGTGTGGCCACATGGTTTTCCTAATTTGTTATTTTCAAACATTTATTTCTTTTAATCTTTCATCTTATCATTACAGAGTGACACATAGGAGGAACCACTGATAACTATAAATATGTGGGAATGTTCATCACTGCGAGAATGCTGCCAAATGTGAAGAGATGACACTTACTCATGCGTATCATGATTGTTTACCTGTGTCCATCCGACCATCTCATTCAAAGAATTGAGATTGTCTAACATGTGTGAAAGGAGATTAAACGCAAACGAATGTTTCGTTCAAGTAAATCAAATAAATACATCAAATGGCGTTTATATAGGAAAGAATTCGCTGTTATATATACTGCCAAAAAATTGCATGTGTGTTACATAGTTTAAGAAGTCAGAATTTAATTTATATGTGCTAAACATATTTGACTGTGGATCAGTGTTCGCTGCAGATTGTTGAAGGGCATTTTTGTCTTAATTTACGTATATATGGGTATTTGTATATATCATATATGTCAGTATGAGTTCGTTATTGCTGTGCAATCCTTATAAAACTCTGATATAATATGTTTGTTATATATTTAATTCTTCGAAAATCAAATATTTTATATTTTTATACTTTTTGAAAAAAAAATATGATTAAAAACAATAAAGTTTAGCGGGGTTTTCTTATACTTTGTGTTTTATTCCTTATGGGATTTTTTCTTAATTTGTCTTGTTCCCTGGAATACAATGGATACACGTATTTTATTTAATTTCAAGCACATAAAATCAGTAGGACCCCCGCCCCAATCCTTTTGTGGCAGTATTATTACGATATGAATTTATGATTATAAATTGATATCACTTCAATGAATTAAAATTCTCTCTCTCTCTCTCTCTCTCTCTCTCTCTCTCTCCGTGAAAATGATTTATATTTCAATATTACTGTTCTTGATATGAGCCTTTGATATTTCCTATAAAATTACATATTTCCAAAGTCATGCATACATTGATAATATATACATATAAAAGATCACCAGAAGCAGTATATCCCATAGTCATATATTTACACATAACTTTATTATTCTTCTAGCAACAAACATAGTAAAACTTCTTTTCTAATACAGTAAATTGTACATGTAATTTTTTTTAACGTTAAAGAATAGTAATATGCACTTCAGCCTTCAATTTTTATGTATTACATGATAAATTTGTATGAAGACACAGGTCGCTACGCATATATAAAATGAAATTGTGAACATTTATAATGAACAATGATTATAAAGTTTTTATGATTATTTGTCAGTTAACATAAATTATAGCTGAACAAATACAGCAATTACATAAGCAATATCATTTACTACTTTATCATTTTTAATTGTACAATTTTTCAAAACATCATTTCTTAACTGATAAGAATAATACAAAATTTACATAGGTTATAATGTTTATATACATATATTTGTTGATTAATATTGAAATATAATCTGACAACAGAATGCATTCGCATTCTTCCACAAATTTTGCAAAGTATTGACTTTTAATGTTATTGAAATACTAGTACCCTGTATTATCGAATTGATTAAGCCTTGCGATCGTTTGAGATGATGTACGAAGAATATGCTCTAGCGTGTCGGATCAACTGGGAAACATAGACCCTATGCGCAGGCATAAGAAATCGTTTGGCTTGTGGAATATAAAATGTAAGATTTTCCTGATGTAAAACTAAGAAATTCTTCAACAAACAATACCAAGCATTTAAAAGACGAATATTTCTTTTAAAATACGTCATTATTACATGTATTTGTAATGCAGTTGAATGTAGTGAAGAGAAAATTGAAAGCTTGTAGATATCATTTATTTTGTTTGAAAATATAGAAAATGTGCATTGGCGTCGGAAGCAAATTGAAAAAGTGTGAAAAATTTTTTTTGTACCTCCCAAAAAACCTGACAAGCAAAAAAAAAAAAAAAAAAAAAAGAAAGGAAATGTCTACTTCCCAAACACAAAAATCCTATTTCGTGGGGGGATGGGGGGTGGGGGGGGTGGGGGGCTAGGTTCGAACTCCAGTACCAAAAATTTTCTTCCAAACACCAACACTTTTCCCAAGTTTAACCTATACTAAGACGTATAGATAACGCCTATGATGTGTGATTCGGGAGAAACAGCAAGGTTCATATCATAAACGTAACATAAAGTTATCATTAGATGTACAATTGCAATGGAGAATTGCTTAAATCATAAATGTTGTCTAGTTAGCTATCGTCAACTATCTTTGTATGCCACAACCACTTCACCTGCACGCGGGGTTTATATCTCTCAGTTGATTCGATACGCAAGAGTATGCTTTACGTGTAAGCAATTTCATAAACAAGGTAAGTTATTGACAAAAAAGTTGATGAAACAAGAATATCAGTATACTGAGTATAGTCTCGTTTAAAGTTATTATTTCGTAAGTTCTATGGTCGATACAATGACTTTGTTAGAAAATATAACATATATCAAGTCGAATGCTGAATGACTTTTTTTCATACTAATTGTTATGCCATTATTTACACACTGAATTGACGACAGATTTTTTCGTTATTTCCCACTCCTGACAAGGAGCACACGACAGATGTGACCGGTGGACATGAGATGCTCACTCCACCATGTCACCTGATCCCACCTCTGATATTTTAGAGGCCTGTGTTTGCCAGTAGCTCTGCTCCTATTTATCCTATTTTGTATAGTTTAATGAATTTTTGAGCTTGGACATTGTTAGTTATCTCCCTACTAGTATGTTTCATTTTAACTCATACACAGTTTTATAATGGATATACCTAATATGCTGAAAGTGTTAAAGTCATCTGGAATTTTTTTCATTTATATCCATTTATATCCAAGAAAGTCAGGACAGTGATTTTTTTTTTGTGTATACATGTAATTCTCTATTACATGAATAAAAAAACAATAGCTTTACGTTTCACCTAATACCATTTTTACATTAGTACATGTAAAACCAAACCGTGAGCATCACTCAGGTCCTTATTTCTAACTGAATAACACTGTAATACCAGTAAGTATTTGTCTAGAATGTGATAAAAAACATCTCCTTTGCACGAAATTATTTGATCAAGAATCTATAGTAAACCTAACTGTCGTTGTCAAGCGAGAATTGATGATTCCAAAAGTTTCTATATTTAGAATATCCGTGTGGTGATCGGAAAGTTTTATGAGTATTTTTTTCTTTGTATCATGATACAGTTTAAAACAGGTCTAGTTTGAATTAAACTATTGTAGCAAATTGTAGGAAATGGATTTAAAACAAGTTTATGCTATATGGAGTTTTAAAATAACACAATCGTCATATTAAATAGGTAATAATATTAGGAATAAATTCAGAGATATAAATCATATTTGAGAAGCTATATGAGAGTTCATTATTATATTTTATGCTCGTACGGTCAATTGTTAAATACCAAAAAAGTTGGATATTTTTTTGTTTTTTAAATAAACAAATATAAAATTGTAAACATAATTTTTATATGTTACTGTATTTGGCATTAGTCTTATTATGTTCCCCAAACGAAGTTGGGGAACATATTGTTTTTACTCTGTTTCTTATTATTATTATTATTATTATTATTATTATTATTAAGGTCTTCCGTCTCCAACGGAAGACCTTCTACTGATTCGTTTGTTTCTTTTCCACTATTATTATTATTATTATTTTTTTTCTTACCGATTTTGTGCAGGCGATTTCTCGAGAACGCCTCGACAGATCTTTATGAAACTTTCAGCAATGATGGCAAATCATATGAACTTAGGGCGTTTTTTTTTATTTTGCCGTCGTCACTTCCGGTCGTGAGATACAGCCAATTTTCTTTTTTTAAAGTGTCATTTTGTCCGGAAGTGTTCTCAAAAACGGTTTGAGATTGAGTCTTGAAACTTTCAGGGATGATAGATTGTGACAGGCTCTCTTGAATTTTGTATAAAGTTTTTGTTGCAGTCACGTCCGTTGTCCACCGGAAGTAGTTTAAAAATATGCAAAATTTTATTTTTTTCTTTTTTAAATGTTTCTTTTATAGGCAAATAGAGTGTCTCGAGTAATATTATGTCCACCAGAAGTTATTTTTTCCAAACCGGAAGTAGTCAAAAAAATGAGCATTTTTCATCGAAATTATCAGGGATGATTCCTTCACACTCAGAGAGGAGTTATAGGTCAATTTTAGTACTTCCGGTCACACCGGAAGTGAATTATAAAGATCGGAAGTTGTCTGAAATTTACAGATTTCACTCTTAAATGTGTTCTCACGTATTTAGAGGAATTGATATGAACTTTTTTTTCATTTTAAGTTGTTTTATGATCGTATCAAAAATCGAACGGAAGACCTACTCATTGCTCGCAACGAGATCTCCTCTAGTTATTATTATTTTTCTTCTTCTTCCTGGGTACTTTTTTGTCCGGGAATGATCTTGTAAACTGTTCGTCCGATGTAGGTAAAACCTTTTTAGGGTCAGTAGACATGTTATGTAGATTTGCGGAATCAAGGTCATTTTGCGCGCACGTGCTTGCAAGAGCGCGCACGTGCAACATGAGAAATTACCAATATAATAGATATAGCCGCAACTTTTCTATTTTTTCATGAAATGCTTTGAAACTCATAATGTGAGGATATATTAGTAGCATATACATGATGACATGGTCAAAATAGCAAGATCTCACGCGCATGCACGTGCGCTGCGCTCTGATTGGCTGAAACTAAAGTCTCAATATCTTTCTTGTTTTTTGACAAAATCCTTTGAAATTTTGAACATAGCCATGCATTAGGATATCCTACAACTTGATGTATAACAATTATCATAAAAGCACGTGCATGCACGTGCGCTGCAATCTGATTGGCTTAAACTTTAGATAGCTATAACTCCCTTGGTTTTCAACCAATCAGGATGGGATTTGGAATATAATTAGATATAATGGATTCCTACAAGAAAGCATGTCACCATGCACATGCATACACGTGCGTGTACGTGCGCTGCAATCTGATTGGCTGAAACTTTAAACAGCTATAACTCCCTTGGTTTTCAGCCAAACGGAGTGGGATTTAGAACATAGATAGATGTAACAGACTTCTACAAGAAGGTATGGTCACCATGCATGCACGTGAAATGAGTAAAATCAAAAATACACTTGAATGAGCATATTTTTTAATACTTTTGGATTAAATATTTTAATATTTAGTATATTTAATATATAGATTGTGTAGACAAGATGATATGGTCATTATGCACATGCATTAACATGCGCACGCGTGTAATGCTAAAATTTGAATGAACTTGGTACACTTCTGGGTAAATGTTATTAAAGTCTCAAATGCATAGAGTTTGTCTTATTTAATGAAGCTTACAGGAAATATTGCACCAAAAGGGATTTGGGGAGTGTTTGGGGAACATCTGTAACGGTCCCCGTTACAATTAGCACTAGTTTTGTTCGTTCTTACATCAACAGCTCTATATCTGTAGCAAAGCTTTGACTGTAGCAAAACCTGGACATTTTTGCAAATTCCTTTTTTTTAATTCTTAGTAAAGACATGGCATTCTTTTAGAAAAGGAAGTACAAGAAGGACAATCAATATCAAAAAGAAGGAACAAAAAAATTGAGTTCTCTTTCTTTGAATGTTTAAATTCGATGCAAA